TTTATATGATTACAAGTAACACTTGCCTGTGGACTCGCTCAGCTCTTTCTCGTAGAGATAGTGCATTCTGAATCTTAGCTTTTGCAGAATTTTCGCTCAAAGGAAACTTATGAAAAGAAAAACGAAACGGTATTATGAGCGTGATTAACACATCATTTTCAACAAAGTCAAAAAACGCTGTTTCCATGGAAGTCTGTGCTGTAAAGAGTCGCTCTCTGGCTCACCTACTTGAATTTAACTAAGAAAGTTTTATCATCTTGCATGGTAAGCTAGGATATATATTTGATCTTCATCAAACTTTTATTATTGACTTTATAACAATTTCATGGTGGACAAACTATGAGTCATCGAACTTTAACTTTCAAGCTTGCATTCAGAGGTTGAAGATATAATATCTTTAAGTAACTCTCATGTAATTTTTCAAGTCGTTTTTCTCGTTCAGTATCTCTTATGAGATGCCACAATTCCATTTACTTTATATTCGATAAAATATAAAGAACTATATCAATGAAATCAAATTCAGGAAGCAAATAAACAAACCAGCAATGTCTGCACTAGATGGAACTCGAAGAAAATGACGATGAATTCGACCAGCGTTTAATATTTGAGAATTAAATCCGTGAGAAAGAGTTGGAGTATTTACACTTGAGGGAAAAAAAGAAGCATCATAGAATTCATGTTCGAATGGCGACTATTGTTATATAATTGGTTTTATAATTGTTATTGCAAAATGAGCTAACGGTCCTGCACTGATTTGATCACTTGATTTTTATTTCTTGATTTAAAATAAATATTCCAAAAAACAACACAACATTAAAAATTCATTTTTCTTGTCTTGTTGCCTTCATAAGTAACCAATTAATTGATTTTTTTCGATAAATATTTCGGTTTAATTGTTAAACATATATCACCAGAACTAGTTTGAACTTGATTAAATTCTGTCAAATAAATATCTTGTCATTGATCACTGGTTATATCTAATTGAATTTTTGATATTAATGATGCTTTAGATAATGAACGAATGTCATCTAAAGCCTTTTTGAATTTGTATAAGATCAGCAACAAGAGAAAATTCATCATCTAATTTTTGTGCTGTTACCAACACAGCCAGTAGCATTGGGTGATGTCATAATGATATTCCGTATATTAGAGATTTGTTTGTGACTCTTTATAAAACTGAATGTCTTGAAAATACATTTGCTTTATGGGTGGATATGGCTAGACGAAAAGCTCTTGTGTATAATATCTTTGCCACACCCTCCAGATTAATAAATTAACCGTTAGAAAAAAAATCTCTCTTTTTTCATATTCACAATATTCTTTCTTTTATTTCAAAAAAAGAACCAAATATTAAAAAAACAAAACAAATAATCGTTAATTAGCAAGCTCACATCGGTTCATTTTGGTGATAGTCTTTTAGCATCACCAGTACGAAAATCTAAATCATTACCAATCATAGTTGGTTTTCTCTCTCTTTCGTCTATCATTAAACTTGATTTTACTGTACGATCATCCGCATCACGATGACTTGATATCACATCGGAAAAACGTGATTTTCTCATAGCATCTTTGCGTCGTTCATTATGATGATCATTTTCAGGCGCAGTTGTTGTTGCTATACGATGATCCATATCTTGACCAAGAAAACGATAATCAACGTCGTTAAATTCACTTATGTTTAATTGCTTTTTCTGTTTATCATCCTGTTCTTCGTCGACTTCCATATTTTCTTCATTTAAATTATCTCCATCTGTATGAGCTGAAGTCACATTAGTTTCTTTTTTTAAATTTTCTTCTAACATCATAGTATGTAGTTCATTAGTAAAACGTGTACATAGATCTTCACGTCCACTGGACTTTAAAAGTTCCATAGTCGACATAACTATTGGGCGAATGGCATCAAGTGATGAAGCACGACGAATATGGTCAAATGAATCAGATATTAACTTGACTAAATCTTCAGTGGAACTAAAAGAAAAACAAAATTCAATTAGTTAAAAAGAAATCATCGATGGGAATTGAAGTCCAGAAAGACTAATATTGCTTACTATTCAGTGGGAATTGTTTTTGTATTAGTAGTATACATTGATTGTGACGTTGGAGGACTAGGATTCATAGTTGGTATTGTTTCTGTAGCAGTAGGTCCACCTAATCGTGGATCTTTATTTCTCGACAGACGTGGATCTCTTGCAGTTACAGATTCTTGTAATGACACGGGCTTATAAGTTATACTACTCAGCGATTGACTTTGATTTGGACGGTTTGTGGATTTTGTTCTTTTACCAGATCCAATAACAACAAGAAATAATTGTTTCGGATCCGTGTTTGTTGATAATGCAAGTGTTGATATAACATTGGGTGGACAATCTTTCGTGTCAGCTGCTAAAACATACATATCACGAATTAACGACGGTTCTGATCGTTTATTAATAACAGCAGCTCGTCCTGAAACACGCATTGTATCAACATATCGTGAGAATGCATTGTTCTCATTATTATTTGATGATACAAGCGTTAGAATAATTACATCACGAACAGCAATGGAATCACGAATATAATCCCAAAGGTCACCAAGTCGAAGTCGACCAAGAATACCGAGCTGTTCTGGAATATCTCCAATAAGATAATCACTTTCACCGTAGATACGTAGAGATTGACATGGAATTTTAACATCAGGTGGAAGAATAACACCACGCCATTGATTTTCTATACTTGATGAACGAGCTATTGGCGTCGGTTGATATCTATTATATTGAAGAAGACAAATGTTATTAGGTTTTTTCAGAAACGGAAAAAGCGATTAAACTTACATTTGTGTAGTATCAGTTTTAGGTTTCGATGCAGCTAGAGGATTATAATCATCACGAATGCCTTGTGGGGCTGATGCGAGACATTCATTATTATCACTGGGCGACTCGGAATGTTGTGGTTGCGGTTGTTGAACGATTGACGATCGAGAATGAATACTGACATTATTTAAATCATCGTCATCATCATAAAGTAGAGCATCGATGCCTGTAGGACTTTCAGGTTCAATATAATCATTATCAAGATCAGCTGATGAAAATATAGGATTTGATGATTCACTGGGTTCTTCATGAGTTGGTGATATAGATGGAGGTTTTGGAATTTCGTTGATAGTTTTAGTTGGAATTGACTCGGATGGTTCAGGAATATTTTCTAAAACTTCAAAATACAAGTTGGTTATATATCAGTAGAAATTCGATTTTATCTAAGCCATAGAGCAATAAGAGAAAAATTCACTCCTAGCTAATTTATGTGATACTATGCAAACTAATATAAATGCCAACAGTCAAAAGCGTAGTGAACTCGTCGGATGTTTAACTGCAAATCTAAGATGTAATCTTCAATTAATGTTTTCAGAACTATTTTTTGCCGTCGGTTGACTCCAAATGAATTTTCGCTTATTTATAAATCTCTTGAAATTTTTACCGATAGGAGCCATTGGTGGAGAAGGTTTTGGAGATGTTGACTTAGATATTGTTCCATTGGTACATTTTGAACAATTGATATCAAATGTATGGTGACCATGCGTTGATGTTGCATCTTTATTTGATGTAGCTATTGGTTGCGTCTTTGGCTTAGGCTTTACAGCGGGCTTTTGACCAGGCGTCGAACTAATTGGCTTTTTCGTTTTAACAATTGTTTTTGAAGTTGTACTCTTTTCTGTTTTTGTCGTTTCACGATTTGTTTTAGATGTATCAGAAGAGTTTGGCTCAGTTTCTTTCATTTCGCTTGGATTTTGTTCATTCTTTAAATAGAAAAATAACGTTTGAAAATGATTTAGCTGTTTAGAAATTTTATTCTTACAGTCTTATATACGGGCAGAACTGAATCGTTATCAATAAGACCTTGTCGAGTAACTTTAGTTCGAGCTCGTCTAGCCATTTCTTCAGCTGTTTGTTCTTCAGCTTTAATTATCATTTGAACTTCTTTTTCGAAATCATCTTTACGCTTTTCTTTTTCCTCTATAACAAAAAAAACAATGTTCTATTCTTATTCTATGGAATAAGATTATACCAGGTGGTAACATATCTTCAGGTTTCATAGCCACAATTTGTTTAGGTGTGACTTCTTTTGAAAGTAGATGCTTATAAAAGAACTGCAAACGAAAAAATACGAAGTTTGAAAAATTTTAAAGTAAAAAAAGATACTTTACATTATTATTCATATTCGTAATATTAGCCAATAATGAACGAAATTTGTTTTTATATGCATTATCAACTTTACCATAAACACGATACATTTCTTCTTCTATTTTATCGGTTAATATTCGCATCTCGTCATTTGTGACAAGTTTTTCACCACTTTTTTCTAATCTATTAAAAAACATAGTTTTTAAAAATATTATTGAATCATGACGATAGAAATTGATGTGGAATACACTCGCGCGGGAGTCTTAAAAATGAGTTGATCACAGATCATAAATAGAGATCAAGATCCGAAAATATCAGAATGCATATTTGTTTCAATTTACCTCATAATTAATTTGTCATATAAAGCTTGAGGAACTTTCATTCGAATATCAGCATAATTTTGAACAGAAGATGTACGAGCTGCATTTGATGTCGTAGCTACTGGTTTGGCAAGTTGAACTGGAGCTTTCTTTATTGGTATTGGTTTCGTATTAGGTACAACTGGTGCCCATGAAAGTTTTGGTTTAGTTGAAGTTGGTGTCGTTGGAGTTTTTGGTGTTGTAGGATTAACAACTGATGGCTGGCGTACTAACCCTGTATTGGAAGATGATTTTGATTCATTTGCTGTTAATAGAATGGATTGTCGTAAAGCGGGTTTAACAATTTCATATGATGGATGTTGATTTATCCATGTACATAAATCTTCGATTTTAGGAACTAATTTTCTATCGAGAACTTTTTTTGTTCGATTTTCATACAATAAAACATCTTCACGAGTTGCTGGAATATCATTATCCTAATTTAAAGAATGATACGATTAGTCTAATGAATGCATCAAAATTAAATAGTCACTCAGCAATTACGAAGTAAATTTCATTTTAAAAGACGTAGAAATTAATTCTCTACTAGAACGAATTGTATCTTGGAAATAATATGAATTTTTTTTCGAGTTTCACAAAAGTATTGCATAGGATGGAAAATTTTATAGAAACTTTTTTCAGAGTAAACTATATAATACTTCATTCGTTCGAGCAGGTTTTTTTTCGTTTTACTTTAGTGAAATATATTTAATGAGATAATCAAAGTCGGAGTTTTTTTATGAGAAAAATTACCATGCAATTATCAAAAATTAACATACCATTCCTTTGCTTCGTTGAATAGTTTGAAGTGTTTCGTTAATATGGCGGCGAATGCATGCTGGTGAACAATAAACCCACCCGGATTTTGCCCAATTGCTACATCCATGTACTATACAATGAATTTGTGGTTCCTGCACATAGGACAGAATTTATCAAATATGAGTAGGTCAATAAATTTGAATACATACTACTACTGGATCACGTTGGAAGAAAATTCCAGTTTTGGGTCGTTTCAATGGCTCAGAATTTGTTAGGTTTTTTGTTATAATAGAATTTCCGTTTCTTTCTCCTTCCTTACGATCACTGGGTGATGCGGCATCTAGACGTTTGCGTTTGATATTCATTGATTCATCAGATGATCTTCGGGATTTTACTTCTGAATTTGATGTTACTCCTAAATAGATTTTCATATTGAAATAAGTTGAAGAAGAGCGTAATCATTTAGTTTCTACATTTAAAAAAAACAGTATTGACACTTCTTTGTTTTAATATTTCTAATGACTCTTTTTTTCGCATCGTATCACTCGCCTGATAGCATGCTGGGAACTTCAAGACAAAAGTACTCTTTGTTTCTTGATCATTTATCTTACCTTTACATGGCGGGCAAACAAATTGATCGCCATTCATATCAAGAACTCTTGCTTGTTCTTTAGTAACACCAATGCTAAATTAAGAAAAATAACACCATTAAAGAAAAATTCAAAGTAAATTCCATTACCAATCTCCATGATACCAATTAGCGCATGAATCACATCGAAGCATAAGTCTAGAATGGTCCCATGGTTTTTTACATATACACCACAGGCGTCGATGCATTTGATCACTATCATCATTGGATTTATCAGTTTTTTTAATTAATATTTCATTATTTTCTTCGTTAGCAGCCATATCTTCTTCTTCATCATCACTGTATTCAATAGTGTTTGAAGTTTTACCACTACGACTATTTTTTTCTAATAACGTTGGACCACCAAGTGCCCACGTAGACTGTCGAAGTTCATGTGCATCGTATAGACCTTTTTCGAGATCACGATAATTTAATTTCGGTCGATTATTTCGTTGGGGATACGATTTTCGACTACGAAAAGTAAATGGATCATCTTCATCGTCTCTGAAATAAAATAATAGCCTCTGGATGAGGAAACAGATTAAAAATATTTTTCAATTTTACTGTATATAATTTGATGAGTTTGTGTCTTTACTACTACTATCATCGGATGTACGATCTTCGTTCAATGGACCTGAAATTGAGAGAATAAAAATAAAGATTTATACGAAATCATCGATAAGCTGGTGTATGCTGAAGCCCTCTTAAGAGATTTTCACACCTGTTTTCATTAGATTAACCATGTATGACAAAAACGAGATGATAAGAAAACTATTTTATCCTAGTAGCGACAAGTTTATAATCATTTTGGAAATCGAAATTGGCGCGAAACAATCACAATGTAAAAGGATTTTATTTGATAATACCAAAGAAATTTTAGTGGAACAACATGAAAAATGAAGTTTAAATAGAAATTTTCTCAAATTAATAATTCGTTCACATCCTTCATTTGAATTTAAGTTTAGTCAAACCAAAGACATTAACAAACTCGTAGTATTTTCAATAGACTAGTTTATCTGATATTATCTATATACTTTAAATATGCATGGACACAATCTTACACGAACCATAATGAAGAATAATAACATTATTTCATAGAAGGATATTATAGTTGCGCATATACCAAAAAACCTGAGATGCACCATCTCTTTAACATGTAAGCTGACCTCTTTCTCTCTTGTTCTCAACTTCGGTGTCATTTTTACTAATGTTGAAATAAAAACATTCTACATCCAAGATACATGTAGTGATTTCCTAGTTAAAATCTTGCCACCAACAATATTTGATTAATATCATTGGAATCGAATCGCTTGTTAGTGGTTCTATTGATCATTCGAGTATCTTTCTCTTGTTTATTATGTTTTTCAAAAGATTCTCAAATGTAATTTGATGGAAAACTTAAGAATCTGTAAGACTAATTATCGCGCTTTGTATTGTATTTTACCATTGCGACAGAGGGCGCCAGTAATCATCCAGTAGAACTAATCATTCGCACAGTGCCTATTGCTATCGCGTATATTTTAAAATTGAATGAGTTGAATCATTCCGTTTAAGATAGATTGAACTACCAAATGAGTAGTAAAATAAAACTGAATATAAACTAAGATTGCTTCTTTCTCAAAAAACACTTGAATACATGTACATGCTCTTCATTTTTTTTCAAACAGATTGATGACATGGTTCATTTATTTCATATTCGATGAATCCTTACCTTTTGCTGTACTAGTATTAATCATTGAACTGTTTTGAGAAGCAATCAATAAATAATAATAATTTTTGCCTTGAATATATAGAAGAAAAAAGAACTTCGATAGAATATAGCCAGACAAAAAAACGAGAAATATATCTCTCTATTTTCTTTTCAAGTATACACTTCCAAATTAACTATTCCTAATTATCCTAAAATGAATAACCTAAAGCAATATATTACGGAAATAATAATAATAATAATAATAGATCAATTTCTTTTGATCACTTGCTCTTTTTATTTTTCTTCAATCGTTATCATTATATAACCTTGAGAAAAAATAAATAATAGCTAAGTTAACGAAACAAACCTATTGCATACTCATATCTTACTATCGTTAATCAACAAAAGACATTCACACAGTTCATTCAACAACAAATGATTCGCAATTTTCTCGATTTTTTTTTCGTTGTAATTGGCTCACAGTTTACATATTAAATAAATCATTGATGCATTTTGCGTACATTGAAAACAAAAAAATAGTCAGGACAAGTGAAATGGATGTCATCGACCAATCGTAATGTACGAACAATGAGTCATCGTTGTCAAACTGTTAGTATAAGGCTCCGTAATTTTTTTAAAGATTTCTTTATGCTATAAAATTCCGATGCAGATTTTCTGAGAATTCACAATCGACTTATTCTTTTGATTATATAAAAAATCAATACACTTTATTCTCGTGAATTTATGATAGTCATATGTTTAGCTATTTTAGATATATTCTAATGTCTGTTGAAGAAAAGCAAGCACGATCAGTATTTGTTGGTAATATTCCTCATGGAACGACAGAAGATCAAATGAAAGAAATATTTTCTGTTATCGGACCTGTACTATCATTTCGTATTGTGTTTGATCGGGAAACTGGAAATCCAAAAGGCTACGGATTTGCTGAATATGCAGGTTTTTTTTTATATAAAAAAAAACAAGAAAGAAATCACCAAAGAATTTTTTGTTCTAATAGATGTAGATATGGCGCAGAGTGCAATTCGAAATTTAAATGGTTTTGAATTTGGTGGTCGATCATTACGAGTCGATAAAGCATCATCGCAAGCTGATGAATTACGATTACTTCATCAACAAACAGCCATTGGTACGCCAGCATTTGAACCAGTTCAAAGTGTCAATGTTACTCCAGATAAAGTTCCTGAAGTTATTGCTCGAACAATTGGTAAAATTCAATTAAAGATCTTTGTTTCAAAATTTTCCATCGTCACTATTTGTTTTAGTTAATCTTCCGCCTGAACAAGTTGTTGATTTAATGAAACAAATGCAAACAATAATTAAAGAATATCCAACAGAAGCACGAAATATTCTTATTCAAAATCCACAATTAACCTATGCTATGTTACAATCACTTGTCATTATGGGTCTTATTCCACCGAATGAAGCTGCTAATATGCTGCATAAACGCCCTGATATTTCACAAATAAACCTCTTGAATAATTCATCGCCAGCGCCACCTAATCTTGTCACTGGTTTAATGCCTAATACTGCATTTCAAGCGCCACCATCTCTTGTACCCCAACCTCCTCTACCAATTGTTGCACCATCTCCATTTCATCCACAATTACCACCGATGAATTTTCCACTTGCAACAGCACCACTTCAGCAACCAACTGCAACTATAACTGGTGGTTCGCCTCTATCACGTACAGATCAAGAAAAGGCTCAATTATTAATGCAAGTATTACAATTGAGCGAAGCTCAAATTGCTCAACTACCACCTGATCAGAGAGCGAGTATTATATTATTAAGAGAACAAATGCAAAAAAGTGGAATGCTGTCACTTTAAGGAAAAAACATTTTTTTGTTATGCTGGTTCATCACTTAAATCTAGGTCAATTTTGTTTCCTATTTTCTGTAAAATAAAAATGAAACGTAATACTATATCATACATTTTAATTACTTATTTAACTTAGATTTCATACGTGTCAATCAAGCAAAATGTCTAAATGTAGGACGAAGATGTAATAAACAAAGGCGAAAACTCTATGAAATTTTCTTCTAACAATGGAGGTGTTTGTATTATAAGTTGAAAAGACTAGATGTTTTTACATCAAAAGAAAGCTCTCACCGCCAAACTAACAAGGTTAAAATATTAGCTCCCCTTGGCTTGTCTAGACGGAGATATTCGATTTTTCAGTGAATTTTCTCTACAGGATCGGCTTTCCCAGCAGTGTCATATTTTCGATTTTGGACCTGAAACTTTGTATGCATGAAGGTCTCAATGAGACTAGCTTACAGAAAAAAATCAGAAGTTTCGGGCAAACCCTCTTCGACATATGAATCTCTCAAAATATTGACGATTTTCTATAGAAGCTGTATGCTTGAGACATCTATATCTCGAAGAGAGTTTGCCCAAAACTTCTAATTTTTTTTTCTGTAAACTAGTCTCATTGAGACTTTCATGCATACAAAGTTTCAGGTTCAAATCCGAAAATATGATATTGCTGGGAAAGCCGGTCCTGAGGGTGGTTGTGGGTGTGAAGAAGACTTACATTTAGATCCGCACCCACACTCTGAATTCATACCGTCTTTAATTAGACCTTTAACCGTTTGAGCATTAGCTAATAAACTCCATACCGCAGGTTCATCACAACGTTGAGCGAATTCATAAGCTCGATCTAAGTTCTTAATATGATCAATAAGGACTCAATAGCTGATGTTTTGAATTATTTCGATATAAATAAAGAACAAGATGGGGTGGGGTGTGAGTGTCACTTAGTATTTACCCACACCCACACCCTCGGACCGTTTTTATTTATTTCTATATTTGATCAAATATATTATTTGGCATATATTAATAGTAAATTCTCTATCATCAATAATAGAAATATTACATACAAAATAATATTTAGACAAAAGTTTTTTTGTAGGCTGAAAATATTTTATCTAAAAGGGTGTGGGTAAATACTAAGTGACACCCACACCCTTCAAAAAATGTAAGATAAAAACACTTACTCAAGATTCGTAAAATGACCATAACATCATCTTATATATGAACATTTCGAAATCTCTTTTTTCCAGATGGTAGCTCTTCCTTTTCTCTGGAAAACTACCTAATTCGATCAATTAAATATATAAGTTTATCGTGAATACTATCGATTTACTAGGAGGGGTCGAAACATTGTACTCACACTTTAGTATTCATTGTCATATCAATGGTCATCTCCTTTCAAATGCATACTTTCCTCGGAATACTGAAAGTCGCGATGCATTTGATAAGTGATATATTGGTTGTATGCCTGATCATCATGATTTAACCAGTTTTTCTGGCCAATTATCAACATTTTATATGCTTAGTATGTATGGAGACCCATTGATTATCAATGGTTTATGTAAATTAGGACCCGCATATAAAAATCAATTTAAATTTGAAAACGAAAGCGCTCATGTGTTATCTGACTCACAACGAAGAGCTATGTATGATGGAAAATTAATGAATGCAATTGTATTTAATTACAATCCTGCTGTCTGTGAAGAACAACTCGTTTTACAAGCTGCACCGAAAACAAATGTTTCCTATTTTGCTCATACAGCACATGCACAAATGTTAAGCAATGTTCGATCTGTAGTAGCATATTCAATTTATTCAACATTACATATTGTTGGTGGTACACAAGTATTTTTCCCTTTATTTGCTCAGTTAGATCATCAGCAAATCGATGATTCAATTAATTATAATGCATGCTCAGTTCTTCTATCGACATTAGGCGAATTAATTGCACGCTCATATACAATTTAACATCAAACGCTTAATTCCAAAAGGTTTTCTTGCTATTGGATATCATCTCGAAAAGGTGTGCATGGAAATTTACTTAAGAAATAGAGAGAATTTCTCTCCTATTAATTCTATGATCAGAGATAAATCAAGATTTGAAGGTCTATACACACATGAATAGAGAATCAAATGATGTAATCAGAGTGAAGATGTACCTACATATGATTACTCGCAATTCAATATTATTATTAATAGCTTGTTCAATGAAAACAAAATGCACCCTTAATCATCTCTCATCTAAAAAATCGAATCATTATGCTTTCAAAGGATATTCAATATTGTTTGAACAGGAAGTATATCAGGACGAAGGACACAATAACAAATAGTATCACGAAGAACATTCTTCGTGAAGTACTTGATTTTTATAGGAGATCAGAGTCTCGAGATGCACTACGCGAAATGAAGGAAAACATATAAGAATAACTAGTCATTTGAAATTGAAAGAACTCGTATTTCTTTTAAGGCATCAAAACAACATATTAATATGAATGTTCTCAATTCTCTCATATCATTGGCAACTTTTTTTGTGCCACGGCAAACTAATTATAAAAACTAGCTGGAAAATGAATTCTTTCCTGTTTGTAGGAGTGAATTTAGTTGTATTATAAAAGATTGACTTTTTAAACAATGCATCTAAATCTTTTCTAGCTATGATTAAAGTTATTGTTTAATATTACTTTCATCGGCAAGTCGAGAAAATCGAAGGTAATGGGAAAATATATAAATACATGTGGTAATAAAAATAGGGTGTGGGTGTAGAAGAAGGCATACGCATAAAACATCCAGACCCACACCCAGGGGCGGCAGAGGCGTTAGGCCTGGGTAGGCTCAAATCTAACATAGATTGGAGGAGATTAGGTGTAGGGAAATTTCAAATGGGGCACACCAAGAACTTGATAGGCTCGATAAATTATAAAAATTTTCTATTAATGTTTATTTTCATATTTTTTTAGAGCAATGATGCATTCTTAGATTGTCAGTCCATATTTCAGCTACTTCGAGCGTCTGTTCAATGATATCTTCTTTGAATTTCTTTTTTGCAAAATTCTATTTCAAGTAATTTTTGAATTTGATCCCTGTCGCAAAAATCAGATAAATTTAGAGTTTAACTGCGGAAAAAATCGCCGGTTGCTGAATCGGTAAAATCTTTAGTTTATCCCGGTTTTCACTGCATTGCTAAATACTTGAAAACTATTACTCCTTTCCAATCGTGATACCAGATAAACAAAATCAGGGTTTCTCTTTCTTTCACAATAAAACACGCAGCCCACTAGTTTTAAAGGAAGTGTATCTTATAGTGAGTCAGGACTATGAGAGTATTCGTACCGATTTTATTTTAAAAAATCAAGAGAGAAAAACGTTTTAGCTACGGAATGGTTCTTTTTCTTGTCAGATTATTTTTTTCTGGTGCCTTTTTATTTACTTGGTTCGTTTCTATGGTGTCGGGGGTGCAATCATGTATTAGATAGTTATCACGTTTATAAATAATCAAAATCTAGGCAAAAAATTAACAACGATCTTCATTGTAAAAAAAAAGAAGAATAAAAATATTTTTCAATTCTTTCACAACCATAAATATAAAATTAGGGCTGGAATTAGATTGAAATAAATTAAGAATTTCTTATAATAATGAGTTATTAATCCATTTTCAAAAAGTTTTCTCAAAAACCAGCCTAAAAAAATCGAAATTTCATGGGTTACACGATTTCCACAGACTATAATCGATTAAGATTTCATAAAAACTGTAGTGTAGCTGTTGCAAACCACGTTAAAACTTTTCATTTGTCATAAAGAAAAAAAGTTAAAATCTTATGATAATAATCAAATTTGAATCTTGTACTTTTACATGGACACGCATCATTTTTCTAAAAATGTGAGCCCACCCTAGACTGAAATTGTTTCGCGGCTTCTGAGTCCATCGATCACTCTATCGAAACATATAGATTAGATTTTTGTTCAACAAATGTACGACAATATCTAAGATAATTGTTTCGATCGCTCTGATTGATTAGAGTACTGCAACATTTTATTTTTATATTGAACAATAGTTTCGTTCTTTTCTGTATCGAAATATTTTGTTTTTCGATGGGCTGGTTTCTACTGTAAACGTGATAGATTTGTCAGAAGCTTTTCCCGCTTTTCTGCGATATATCAAGGACATGAAAAGTTGTGATTCAAGAAAACCGGAAGAATTGCAAACAAATAAAAAACAAATTAAGAGCCATAGTATGAATTTGAGTGAAGCTCATACTCCAACATGGTGCTTTCCACAAATCACAACGAATTTAAATTTCCTCGAAATCAAAATTTTATGCATCAATGTAAAATGTTTGGCAAGCTAATTCTGAAATTCTCTATTTTTTAGCCTTTTGTTGGAAAAACTTACGATCAGAATATTTTTCAACTCACTATAATTCTACAATCGTTGTTTTTCTCCAATCAAATTTTAAATAATTTATGCACATTAACATTCGATTGTTCATTTTATCAATCATAATAACACTTCACCATCACTTGCTTTTGGCGCTCTTATGTTCGACATACTGATCCTTACAATCAGCCACCATCGATTCGTTTCGTTCATTCATTCATTTACACTTATAGAATCATTCTCATTTTCTCTCAATAGGGATATATACACTCAGTCAGCCTTAATAATCTCTGCTTATGCACGCTATGCAATTATCGAGAAGGACATAAGCCAAAAAAAAAGTTAATCTAAAAAATGGAAATGAAGTCAAGTGAAGTGGGAAAAAGTACACCTCGTTTTTTTTTTGTTCTCATCTCTCATACATTCACAGAAATAGAAATATCTCTTGACAATAATTCAAACACAATGCATGTGTTATACGTCATGCATCGGCAACGAATATTACCTGTTCTTACTTCCTCATTAACACCTTAAGTTTGCCTCTTTCTTTTCTTTTTATTATAAAAATAGCAATAAATTATAAAACAATCGGTTACAGTTCATATGTAATCAATTTTATTTTTTACAGAGAGTGTCAATAGAGGTGATATGTAAAACAATATATTGCCGACATTCGTTTAGCGTTTGCATTAGATTTAGATTTATATCAGCCATGCAATCTTCCTGCTGTGTACATCTTGAAGATCAGGAGTATCATGTAAAGAGTCTAATCAGCACAGAAGTGTTATCTTTCACCAACTATCAAAATGATCATTTGATTCTTCTTCTCGACTATCCTTCTATTTCTATTCTAATCAATATACAACTCAGTGTGACTAATATTGAAAAGTATGGCGTATCGTTTGATCGATCAAATCGCAAAGCATGAGAAAAAAATGTTTGTTAAAATAATTTATATTACATTGTAAAAATTTAATGACTTTTTTTGTTACCGGAAGGATGCTCATGCAGTGCTCTCTCTCTCTCTCCAACACATAAAATGTGTAAATGAATGTTAAATATTCTTCTTTGCATATACCGACACAATTTAGTCTAATTTCCAAAGTCAAATAAATACGCAGAGCTATATCCTTCTATGTGTCACATACTTTTCGTCAATAGAGAAATTGTTTTTTTTCAATTATAAAATTTAAAATAGCCCCACCTTGTATCTACATGTGTGTTTATTCACCTATCGCATTTTTCTTATACAATACTTGTGCACATCACGATCAAAGAAATGAGCTCATATATAATTGTTGCCAGCGGGTATTCATAATACACGTTGCTCATCATTTTATGAGATCAAACATCATCCTTTTATATTAATATATCTTTTTTTTTGTTTTTTGTCAATAAAGTGTCAAAGCATAAAATTAATGAATTTTTTATGTCGGCATAAAATGTTTTCTTTTGCCGAAAAAAGATAAGATTGGATTAGGAAAAGTTAGATTTCATTTACGTTGAGTAGATCATCTGAGTAGAGACGTGAATAGGAAAATAATGGTCAAATTACAAATGACATACCTTTCCTGATTTCATGCTGAGAGAACGGCCATAGGTAATGTAATTTCAAGTGGTCACCATACTCCCATCGTCTTCACTTGACTTCATTCTCTATTTTTATGATTAACAGATTAACATAGTGACTTCCGGCGGACATGCTGTTGATAATTGTAGTGTGCGCGTATGCATAAGATTAAACTAATACATTACATGCAGTGCACATTGTTCGAACGAAAGTGGGTGGTACATGAGAATTATGAGTGTAACATTAATCATAAATATACAAAAAAAAAACGTAGGTGTCAAAATAGAAAAAGAAAACATATCTGAATATGCATAGCAGCATTGTGCCATCGGGTATATTATCAAAAATATATACTTAGCAGTGAAAATAACAACGGTCTTTATTTTTTAGGAATTATAAATGAAAACAAAAGTGAATAATTAAAAAAAAAAAAGAAATTTGATGATACTTTTTCTTCGTACTCTGAACCTTCTGCAACTTACACACATTTAACCATCAGTGTGCGAAGCGTCTATGCACAGACACGTCGTTCGCGAAGGTGTCATATGAGCACAACGACTGTGTCACAGTAGCTTTTAATCGAGATAAACTCTTACGATAAAGAAAAGAAACACTCTGATCAGGTATAGTAGTTATTAATAGGTACATTGGTTCTAATCAGATTTTTTTTTCTCAATTTGAATTGAATTAAAATCGTTCGGAATGACTCAGAGGGAACAAGCAACAGAAGGATTTGTCAATTTTTACAAGTCACTACTGCAACAGTGCTCAGCGTGAGTCAGAGGATAGACTACGAAGGTCTTTAGTTATTTTAATTTTATTTGAACAATACAACTATTCGACATGTTTAAAACAAAACTCTATTAGCACACCTAGGTTGTCCCGCGAATAACGTTTCAATAACTTTTCGGCGACCCATACTTTCTCCGTGTTGATTTGCACAAACTTGTACAGTCATGATGTGCAAAAAAACGATTGAATACCTCTTCACTCAGGTCTGTGATTCCAAAGGACTGTTTTACAGAACAAATAACAGGATCAGTAAGAACGTGTTCATTGTTGTTCTTACTGCCTTGTAGATCACAAACTAAATTTGTACCACTGGTGATATGATAGGTGAAATTTGAGGTAAATTTTTTATAGACATTTTTACCTAAATACGGCTCACCGAGAATCTTTTCGTCCCCAATAAACAGCGGCCAAATATTGTTTGCACATTCGTCTATGTATGGTACAAGAAATCTAATTGGTTTGTTGCTGTTCATTTCGCTGTTGAACAGTATAGCAAGTCGTTGAGCCTCTTCAGAAGCTAGGATATTTTCCGACCCGTAACTTTCGTGTAATTGATTTTTATCACGAAACGTTTTCATAACAAGAGGCTGGTTTGTACAGTTATCGCTGCTCATATAGACGGCGAGAAAAGAGCCTGCATCAATATATTCGGAAGCACATATGAAGCGTGTGGTGGGTATGTCACCTGACGGTGGCCGCGAATAATTGTTAAAGTCAAAAACACTAGATCTACAAGCGGCAATAGAGCTCATACGTTTGCTTGAAGAATTATTGCCGATTCTAAAATAAAAATGACTATAACTAAGTCGTTCAGTGTGAGTTTACGTGACTAAACTCTCTTGATAGACGTTTTGACCTGCTAATTATTGCGGAATGTTAAAGATTATCGATATCAAGCACAAAAATTAAAACTTCTTTTAGTTCTTTGGAATTCAAAATGAGCATATTGCATTTCTACTCCATCAACAAATTAGTATGGCACAATGCTTTATTACTTCAAAGAAGACAGAGATAGTTCAATTTTATCATCTGACTCTACCATAATGTTGAAAGCGTCATGGTAGAATAAATCGAAACATATTCATTTCGTACTCACAATCACACCCGTCTACTAATGCACTTACTTGATCACAATGACTTGAAATGAAAGATTTGCAATTTTCAAAAAACAATTTATTGCATTCGCTATTGGGCTTGTCTTCTATAGAATAATTTTCTTGTTATCTTATCTATTCAATTGAGATTCGTGGAGGATTTTTCCAAACACTCATTCAGCACGTATGCTGCATCTATTGTGTGACGATTACCACAGCTGGAATTCACCTGCACGTTACCCTTGTTCTTTTCTCCTTTGTTGCGACATGTCGCTGCAATTTTACTTTTTCGTATCTATTTTTTGTTTCATACATCGTGCTTCTCTTAAACATAGAGTTTGCTTCAGAGTCAGCATTCTTTGAGCGGATCTAAGTAATTTTACCAATGTTGACGCCATTATACTTAGAAAGATTGGAATAAAAAGATAGTAATGCATGTGATTACCAATGATTTGTTGGCATTGTTTTTTTCATCGAGTGATGATTTTAGATCAATGAATGAAAAACGAAGAAAACATAACAATAATCCTTTGTCAAATGGATCATAAGCAAAGTGCAAAAAATTACGAAGAACTCAACAAAAACAATAGGTACACGATTAAGCTGAATGCTTTTCGTTAACACACATATTGATATTCTCTACAACTAATTTCTGTATCATCCTTGTAGACTGAATAGATTTTGCTCTTAGATTAAGTTCGAACACTGAAGCCGAGTATTTCTCGATTTGTCCTCAGATAAGATCAAGTATTTTATACAAAAAACAAAAACTATATTTTTCTTAGGTGACCTTCTCGTCTACGTTAAATTATTATGAAACCCTACTTTTTCCGTACAGATGGTGACAGTCAATAAACATATAAAGAACATAACGTCTCAAATTTGACCTCAACTATTTTTTTCATTAGAAAATCTTTTAAATATGCGTCTACTTCTATCTGGGTCACATGTTTCCTCGATCAACAAGATAATCCAGTATAATGATTTTGATTTTGATTGCTAAAAAATTTATAGTTACAAATTAATAACATCTCTTATACCGTGCATATGTTGAACAGTCAACACTAGATAATAGTTTATCAGTTATATTTTCAATATTTAATTGTGTACGATCATTGTTAATATGAGAACGTTTATAACGTTGATTGTGATTTTTTGTAAAACGATTTTTACCAATCGAAGATATCATTGGACGAATACATTGATCGACAATAATTCGAAGATCATTGTGTACATTATTATCTAGTTGTTCAGTTGAAGTTGTACGTGGTAATGTTGCATAGCATTCTTCGTTTTTAGCTGAACGAAGTTGATCCTCATAATTTGAATATGGTACAAATGAATCAGTTGAACTTTTACGAAGTCGAGATATACTATTAACACCGTTCACAGTTAAACGGTATGCATCATTGCCGATACGAACAAATCCAGCTCGTTCCAATGTACCGGTTGGCGATCGACTTATTGGAAGACGTTTTTCTATTTTTTTAACAATAGCTGCTGCCGATTGTCGACTTTTGATTGTTGATACCAATTGGGTGTCTTTAAGAATGCCTTCAGCACTTTGCGAACGATTTGATAGAAGTAAAGAATTTTGTCGTTGCTGAGGTTTATCTTCAGTTGTTTCAATAACAGACATTGGCCTTCGATAATGATGTATAATTGGACGTGTAGAAATGTGACGCGATGATGTGGGCGAATCAACTATGGATTCAATTGAAAGAACTTCTACTGTTGATATTGTATCTTTTGATTCAGTACGTTGACGTTCATCAGTATATATTCCGCTTGATGATGAGTTATAATTATCGTCATAAAACGACGACGACGACGACGACGATGAACGCGTTGGTGATGAAGATTCTTTGGTTATGTGTGCGGAATATCTCGGATAATCAACTAAACAACGACGTGACATATTTGACATGCTTATCATATTTTGTGTTGCTCGAAAATATGAATGTTTTGATGGTTCATCGCTTGTTGGTGTTGCTTGAGAATTCCATCGGGTTGTATCAATAGCAAGCGGCTCTTCCAGACGACCATTTTTACGTATTGATGGTTCAGTATGACTTGGAATAAATGTACTTTGACGACTAAGTACTGTTGATGGCAAGAAATTTGACATCCTTTCACGTCGGATACTAAACGCTGGCAATTGAAGTTGTGTAATTGATGTTGACGTTGATATCCTATTTTTATTTGCATCATTTGATATTGGAGTCGGTGCTACTCTTGTTTTACTTTTTATTGGCGAACGACATTGATTTATCGGTGGTGTCGCTCTTGTTGTTCCTGCTGCTGTTGGTGGTGCTCGTGTTAATAAATTCTGATTTTTATCGCGTTTTTGATTGGCATTTGATGTAGCACCAAACCATTTTCTTGGGTTAAGTGTCCAACGAGTGTTCGATGGCATTAATTGTTTGAATGAATGAATGAATGCGAGAAGTTATTTTTAAAAACGTTTGTCTTAGTTTTGATTTTTAATCGATTTGATAGTGAAGGATGCAAAGAAATGTATGAAGCTCAATAAAAAATACGAACAGCAATACTACACTCTTACTTTTCAAATGCAGAAGGAGAGAGAGTGTGTGTGTGTGTGTGTGAGAGAAACGAGTGATTGAAATACTAACACAAAAAAATCTGCAACAACAAGATTTCACCTTTTCCATCCCAGCTTTCTCTTTTTCTCGCTCAGTCATGTTTATAGAAACACAGAACAATCAAGTATTTTCTTTTTTTTGATAAGTCATCAGTAACATCAATACAATTATTTGCGCTATATGTTTCGAACATTGTTTTCTTTCTGCCTCGCTCAGTTACTTGACAATGCTTTTCAATGTTTATTATGCATATATTTAAACGTACCAGGCGAGAAATGAAAAAAAATAAAAAGCGAGAAAAGGAAAATGAAGAGACCCGCTCGATTCCTTGAAATATATTATATTCAATATAAAATGAACATAGAAGCGAAACATAAAAATTTTAATGTCGATTATAATTATTGTATCTTGAACTGTTACTACCAATTGACAAATGACTTTCGTTTAGATAAGTAAATGTATACGATTTCGATGATGGTGTTTCTGCCTGTTTAGTGAAATTATGATTTATTTTATTTGGTGATTGCGTCGGAATAGGAGATGAACACATTTGAGCTCTCGAAGCATTGTTCGGTTCATGTGTTTGTGTAGTTGAAATAGTTTTTATTTTCGGTGAAAAATTTTCTTGTTTAGCTTGAAAATTTTGTTTTCGTCGATGCTGATGATGTTGATTCGTGCTAGAATCGTTATTATTGTCGTTCAAACAAAATACAATTAGAAAAACAAATATGATACTGAAAAGTATTGAGACAGCAAGTACAATGGCGCCGGCAATAGTTGCAGTGGAGCCATCTTTCACTAAGCCTAGAAAGGAAGAAATAGATAAAATACTAGATAGACTTGTATTTCTCTACCGTAAATTAGTCCAGCAAGACCTCCGATAGATCCAATAACTAGAAATAGACCTATGATGGATAAGCATGCTTCTTTATTCGATGAATTGAGATGTCCATTGTTGTGTTTTGAGATGAATATCATAATGGATTGAGGTCGTTTTTGTTGAGTGAAATGTTCTGTTTTGTATTAGGGGAAAATGTTGTTCTACTTTGCAAAACTAAGTAATTTGAAAGTATGATTGTGTGATAGTGTTTTCTCGATTTGAGTAGTTAACAATTATCATTTTCACATGTTCTTCTTTTCAACTGCGCCGTGTTTCCTTATTTTCTATTTTATCACGTGCGTTCCTCTTTTTTTTCTTCTAAACTATGCTAGAGAAAATCTAATTTCTTTTTACTATTTGCTTTTACTTTTCTAAAAAACGTTTAAAATTTGATGTGCTCACATTTCTGTACTCAATCCTGTTAATTATGTCGTGGCCTGTGAATATCAATAATATGTGTTTTCGAGTAGAAATAGAGAGAAGCGTTTTAATACGATGATCAATAATTGCCTTTATATAAAAAAAGATTTTTGCACCAATGTTTTGTTCAAAATTTATTTTAAAACGACATGTCTATACGCGTTTAAAAAACAAGTGTACTATAGCATTAATGTGTTGCGAGTGTCTATGGTGTATATGATATATATTTCAATAGGATGGTTGAAATTTTTGCAATCGATTTTATTTAACACAAAAAGAAAATCAAACTAAACGAAGATTATTTTTAAAAGTAGGGCAAAAAAGCAGCTCGTAGTGAATTGGCGATTATTTGTTCTCGAACGTTGAATTGTTTATCTGTTGGCTATCGATGACGAACAACGGTTTTATTTTTGTTGAAGTCTTAGGTATAGCAATCGTTTATTTTTAGCCAGGAGGACAAAAGGACATCTCTATCGATGCAATGCGTGCCAAAAAAGAAAACATACGCATCGAAGAAAAATAAAATCATATTGCTAGATGTAAATACAAAATGATTCAATGGAACGATTAGTTCAAATATTTTTCTAGAGTCGAATATGAGCTGATTCACGTAGTTGTGCTGATGTCAGATAATTTCAGTCAGCTTGAACTAATAACGGCATGAACGGAAAATCTGCATCGACATAGTCGATAGAATTTTAAAAAAAGGTGTATTATTTTTTTTTTGTAAAAGAAAAATTCAGTATTTCAAGTAGAATAGTGAAAATATGTATTCGAAATTTTTTCTGTGCAAATCATTGAAGATTTTTTTGTTTGCTAATTATTTTTCTTCGAGTAACATTGAAACGCAAATAAAAACATAATAATCTATAAAATGTTTGAATATACTCGAACTATCAAATAACCTTGATGTAGAATAATAAATAGATTCTTATGTTTCCCGCCTAAGACATTGCGTGTAAAATGACATTTTACTATTCAATCGAAACTGCAATGTTTACGATTGAGTCTGCATTTTTCTAGAAATTTTCATCAGTGTTACTCTCGTTGCCTTGTATTTCAGTATTACGAATAATTAATCAAAATGAAAATTTCTAATAATATCATTGATTTACATAGAATCCCTATAGTTAATTGAATTTCTTCGTGTCAATCAAACTTTTTTATTGTAAATGAGCAACACAATTGAACAGATTGATCACAATAATCTAGTTTAGCGAAAAGATTTTTTACAAATAACTTTTTTTTTCACTTCCAAAATTCCTCAATCAATAATACAAAGACCAAAAAAATGTTTCACAACAATCGAATACACTTTTGTTTTTTTTTTATAAACATTATCGATAATAGATTGAACTGCCTTCTTTCCTATGAAATAAAATGAAAACCGATTTCAAATATATATATATATGAAGAAAACAAAAATATTTACCAATAATTATCCAAACGCTTTTTAAATAATGGATCTATCTGACTTGTATCGAAATCAGCACCTAAAATAGAATTAGATTTCGTAGCTTTTTAATTCTAAAGAGACCGCCTTGATGAGCCCTTTTTTCAAAAGTAAGAATAACTTTCTTATGCGGTCAATTACAAAATTATCTGTAATTTCTAAACAAAATAAACCCGAAAACTAGTTTGCCTGCCATGCTTACTTTGAAATGTATTTAACCGTGTCAATGTATCGTTATGTTCTTTTGTTGTCGATAATACACTTCGATCATTGACATCACTTTTCAATGCGCTTAAGCCAGTTTCGTAAGCGTCGACAAATTTAGAAATCTAAAAACAAAGTAACTTCAGCAAACGAATTTTATTGAATAAGTTTTTACTTGTTCATAATTTTGTTTGGCAAGTTTTTTTCTTTTTGCTTCAACTTTATTATATTTACATTGTAATTTTTCTAACACTTCTAATTCTTTTTCAACTTCGTGTTGATCATATTTAGTTCCATTTTGTTGTAATTCTTCAAGAGCTGTATATCGTTGTTCTAATTCAACTTTTAATTCTATAAAATAAGAAGAAAATCATAGATAAATCATTTTTGTTTGCTGTATTTTACGTTTCAATAGAAGATCATCTGCTTCGATTTCTTTTAAATTTTGTTCAGTCGTCGTTTGAATATGTTTTGAATAGCCTATAAATAGAATAAATGACAATTTAGTTTTTGGGAAAATTTGTTTTATTTCATACTTTCATTCATGCATGTTACATAGAGAAACGAATCCATTTTTGTGAAAAAGAACAAAAAAAAGAAAATGATTGGAAGTTGGGTAAAAGTCAAACGAGCAAATCAAATTTGTCCAAATTTTATGGATTTGTTTTGCATTGCTTCAAAATTAACATAACTGAAGTACTTGATAATTTTTCAGAGATGCAAGTCTTTTTTTAATTTGAATATACTATTGAAGCTAGTGTAGCATTACGATTAAACGATGGCCCGATGTTTTATCATTGAAAAAATGACTAAATCCCACTCGTAATGTTAACAAATATAGTGAGATAATTAACAGAAGAAATTAATTTTGATATTTAATCAAATTTTTACTAGAAAAGAAAAATGATTGTTCCCGATCGATTTGTTGATGCACGAGACGAAAATAAACAATATCAATAAAAGTACGTTTCAATCTGTTGTTGATTGTTATTGATCAAATATTTGATTTTTGTGTATTTGAGACCATTTCACTATGGAATCCTCTTAGAAAATTAAAGATGTGTTGAAGTATATAATTATTAATAAGTCGGAAAAATTAAAATTAGAAGATGCAATTCATAAAGTATTCGACTGAAATTGTTTCATTCGACATATTTGAAATGATTGCCAGTTCTACGCTTTAGTGTATCCAAATATCCCCTTGCAAGTCTTTCATATATGCTGAATCCATTGTCTTAACGAATATTTAATAATATTTTTCGAAGAAATAGATAAAAGTCTATCGTTAATTTTTCATTCCTTATTTGCTCAACTTACGATATTCTAGATAAGAAGCACATATTTATTGATTAACAATCAAAATAATAAAAATACGTGTATATCTATTTATGGTCATTCAGTCTCTTGCAAAAGAGATAAGCGTCGTAGCGACAAATACAAATGACTAAAGCATTGTTTTTCTTATCATCATCATCGATTGCATATGAAGCATTGGTGTATCATTTGAAGCAAAAACGTAAAAATTGGTCTAGGTTATTTTAATTGTGATGGAACGTTCAAAATTGTATCAATTAACTGACGAAGCATCGAAAAAATTGTATGAACCTGTCAATGATATCGAATCGTTAAATCAATGGAGAAAACACATGGTTAATTTAATCGATGAAATTTCTCGATTAAAATTATCTCCATCGATCGATTTGAATGAAACCAACAATAATAGATCTCTTGATCCTACAGATTGGTTAACAGCTAGGCATGTTGCACATCAAATGCTCGATACATCTTTAGAATCAATTCAATCAATACGAAATCGACCTGTTTGGCAGCCGATTCCCATTGAAATTCGAGCATCGATTGAACAAGAACCTTTGCCTGAACACGGTCAAACGTTACCGAATGTATGTCAAGATGTATTAAACTATGTTTTTCCGTATACCAGAGGCAATACACATCCTCGTTTTTGGGGATGGGTCATGGGTGAAGGCACATTAGGTGGTATATTAGCTGAAATGATGATGGCAACAACGAATATCAATGCAGGCGGGTGTACTCACAGTGCTGTTCTTATTGAACGAACTGTTATTCAATGGATGTGACAACTATTCGGTTTTCCTGCAAGTAACGATAGTGGTATTATTGTTAGTGGAACATCGATGGCTTCGGTTATAAGTTTAGCAACAGCACGTCGTCAGTTTCTGACTAATGTCAGACAAGATGGAATGATCAATGGCCCTCGATTAATTGTTTATGCATCAACAGAAATACATGTTTGTATTACTAAAGCATTGGAATTATTAGGATTTGGTTCAAAATCAATGCATTTCATATCTGCCGACAAGAATTTTTGTATTAACACTGACGAATTAAGACAAACAATAGAAGACGATCGAAACAATGGTCTACTACCATTCTGTATCGTTGGATGTGCCGGTATAATTTAGCATAAAAGGAAAATCTCTTTGAGAAATATTAATCGTTATCTTTTATCCATTTTAGGAACAGTAAATTCAGGTGCTTTTGATAATCTTGTTGAACTTGCGTCGATTGCTCATAAAGAAAAAATGTGGTTTCATATTGATGGTGCTTTTGGCGCTTTAGTTATACTTGATCCTGAACGTTGTCATTTAGTACAAGGTATTGAACAAGCTGATTCGTTAGCATTTGATTTCCATAAATGGTTACATTGTCCGTATGATGCCGGTTGTGTTCTTATTCGTGATGGTGCTCATCTATCATCCACGTTTTCTGTTCATCAATCCTATTTAGCTGCTACCGAACATGGTTGCGCAGGTGATAAACCATGGTTTTGTGATTTAGGTACTGAATTATCACGTCAATTTCGAGCCTTAAAAGTCTGGTTTACATTAAAAGAACATGGGATTAAAAAATTAGGCAAAAAAATTGCAGATAATTGTCAACAAGCTCAATATTTAGTTTCCTTATTAAGCAACTATGAAGATTTTATTCAGATTATTCGCCCTGTAACATTAAATGTCGTTAATTTTCGATTAGAACCTAATGAATTAGACAGATCTAATGATAAATTGATCGATGAATTTAATAATGAACTTCTTGCTGATATTCAAATATCCGGTATTGCAATAGCATCTACAACTCGTTTTTGCAATCGATTGTATATTCGTGTATGCATCGTTAGTCATCGATGTACTTTTGAAGATTTCGATATTTTCGTGGCCGGACTTCTTAAATGTTATCGTCTTCGACTTCGAAGTCTTCAACAGTCTGAATAGCTTTCAAGAGATAGAAACAATAATATTGTGCAGTTTTTATCTTGACCTTTAGATTTGTACGAAATGACCTGCTTAAAAACTTTGCTATTCAAGCTAAATGAATAAAATAACGTACATAACATTTGTTTGTCTCTTAGTGATATAATACAGAAAACCGTATTTGTTTGTGTTTTCATTAGTCTTTTCAAGCATAAACGTAAATGACAAATTAGATTTCACGATGCCATACGAATATCGTGATGGAAAGCAGAGCTTTTTTAAACTGACATGTTATTCATTCCTTGCCAAAAAATTAACGCGAATATTTTTTAAATTTCTTAAATCAAGGCAACAAATAAAATTATGAAATCTGATAGAACAACTTCGCAACGGTAAACAAACTGATCAGCAGCGTCGCATAACTCAAAATTATCACTTTGATTAAGTTGTGTTCAAGTTACCTGTGTTCATGCGAAAGCTTGTCTCGCTGCAACTGAGGTTAACAGCAAAATATTTTAACTTAAAATGTCGCATGAAAAATAACCCACTATTTTCCAAGCTGCAATTACTATTGAAATTCTGATATAAATACTTGGCATTGATATATAAAATATTTTCATTTGCGGCTATGAGTGATAATATTGAAAGATCATTGTGACCTTTTTTTTTGATTTTTTAATATGAAACGCTAATCTTTTTATTATTTCGCTTTTGATAATGTTCTTTTTTTTTTATATCATTTTGTTTATTAGCAATTGAAAAAAATATAATAATCATGGATAACCAATCTATCTGACTTTTAGAACAGCAAATATAGTAATTTTAACTTCGCGATCGATGTCTTCGTTTGCTTTTATTTTGACTGTCTTCTTCTTCTTCTTCTTCCATTCGTTTGTGTTTCTTATGCTTTGTCTTATTTTTTTTCTCGTCGATACGTGTAGAATCTTCTCGTTTGGGTCTACTGATTTGTTTTTCATATTCATCTGGATAGCGTTGCATAAAAAATGCATGGTCCCATCGATCAGCATTCACACCCAAATTAGATGGTAACGGTGGACCAAATTCAGCTTCAGCTGGATTCTTATTAAGTTTTCTACTTTCATCACTTGATGAACGATATTTTCCTTTTTGTTTTTGCTGCTCGTACGGCGATCGAGATCGATGTCGTCGTTTTTTTCTATCGTTGTTTAGTGCTTCTCGTTCGTTTTCACGTCGACGCCACATTAATTCTTCTTCAGTAAGACGATTATGAAATGAAACATGATTGATAGATCTTTGAAGAAATCGATGACGTGATGACATTTTAAACTACTAATGTCTGTTATATGTTTATCTTTCAACGTAGGATGAAAAACATTGACGGTATAAAATTGACCAATTAGAACTCAGTAAACAATATGCATTTCTCTAGTGCGTCGAGCTGTTCTGTTTTTTTTATCAAAAAAAAACATTTTCAGCGAGATTTATTCATTAGTTTAATTCAAATATTTAGATGTTTCATCTCGGTCAGTATCAGAAATATTTTTAAGTAGAACATCTGTGTATATTCCCTGTGAATAATATAAGTAATCACAATTTGTCGACAGCATCACCGTCAAGCTATGGAAATAACTGAAATACATGCATGTGCAGAAAAATTAATCGCATTTGTCAATCCGAAATCGTATGAATTTCATCGCAGTCATTGAAAATGTTATATGTTTTATTTTCAGCGGTGGTTTGCAAGGTCAAACAGTATTAGATCAACTAAAAGTTCAAATAGGCACAGAAAATGTTTATGATCTTGTAAAAGACCATGGACCAGAAAAAGGTTTAAAAGAAAATCAACTTGAAAAAAATCTGAGAATTGTTGGTCAGTATTTTTATTGTCATTTGCTTTTGAAATTTATTTTCTTTTTCTCTTATGATATTAGCATGTGGCGGAGATGGAACAGTCGGTTGGCTTTTATCAGCACTTGATACATTGCACATGCGACACAAAGACTTAGTGAGCGTTGGTGTTATTCCATTGGGAACAGGGAATGATATGGCTCGATTTCTCGGTTGGGGCGTTGGATATCGGGGCGAATCGTTAGCACCCGTTGTTCAATCATTATCGACTGCTGAATCACGTTTACTGGATCGATGGGCAATTGATGTTCAACCAGCGGCGAATTCTGGTGCTGCCAGTTTAAAAGTTAATGACAATGAAACTGATTCATATTAAACGAAAAAGTTCATTTTAGATTCCACAACCTGTTTTTAATAACTATCTCAGCTTTGGCGCAGATGCTCAGGTAAATATTATGAAATTAACGATAAATATTGGCAAGAAGTTTTACATAGAAATTTCTTTGCTAGGATTTAAATGTCATAAATAGTATTTCTGTATTTTCAAAAAACAAATATCATCTCATAGTATATTTACATGTGATTTAATCAAAACGACAATTCAAATTCTATACACAGCCATCACCGACCATACAGAAATCGTAATTTCCATTAGAAACCGTTAGAAAGTTTTCCTTGAGATAAACTGAACGAAGACACGAGTGATTAGCAATAACACTGAGATTACTGGTACTGTTGCATCAGTTTAGACTCAACGTTACATGACTGAATAGCAGGAATTCACCAGCAACACATGCATTTCTTAATCCTTTAACCTAACTCGTAAATTCGCTCTCGAAAACATGTTTTTCGTTTCGCTGAATTTTTCAATCCGAGTCTATCATGCATCATTTTGCAATCTACATATTTAATTACACACACGTTTCTTTCCAGACCGTCAAGTTATTAGTATTTTACTAAAAACCAGTGCAGCAGTGCGAATGCTTAATAATAAACTAGCATATGACTTAACTTTTCGCTGTTTAATTATATATTCATACGAGCAATTTCCTTACTCCACAGCATGGTACTTGAAAAATTAATGTTAAAGTGCGTGAGAAAAAAATGCTGCTCTCGATATTTCGTGGAATAGATTGATTACAAATTGAATTCAATCAAAAAGTACTCTTTTTGGAAAAATTTCATTATGAGACTTTCTACTTATTCTCGATGAAATCAAAAACTTCAATTTGTTCGAGATAAATTCAAAATTTTGATGACAAGAGATCAATCTTTATTCAGCATTTTTAAGGCATTTCAAATATCTTCGTGCACGAAATATATCTACGAGGCATAGTAGAATCGTGTTAGTAAGTAAACCGACTAGTACTTTGATGTAAAACATGTAATTGTAGATTATCTATGCACAATGGACTATTGACGAGTGATTAAATCAGCATTGCTCGAGCTTGACTGTCATGTCAATAGATAATTTATCATTCAAATATACGACTATTCATTGGTACAATTATAAAAAATGACTAATCTATGTATTCATATTGATTTAGATTGCACTTGACTTTCACGAAAAACGTAATGCCAGTCCCGGTTGTTATGCTAATCGAATATTTAACAAATTAGCGTACGGTTGTATCAGTTGGTAGGTTTCCTATGATGACTTAGATTTCAATTCTAATTTTCATATTCCTATCAGTAATACATTTTTCGATCGTCGATATTTATGTGGAAATATTACGAATTTTTTTGAACTTATTGTCGATGGTAACAATATGGAAGAAGATTTATTTCGTGTTCGACCTGATGCGATACTTATATTGAACATAGCTTCCTATGCGGCTGGTACAAATCCATGGGATGGAGTTTATGATAATCTTTGGTGTGCTGGATCGCAAACCGGTGATGATAGATTTCGTGAACAGAATTGTTCCGATGGTTATTTGGAGGTAATTGGCTTCAAACATTTTGAATTAGCACGCATTCGACTTGGACGCCGTGGCCGTCGGATAGCTCAAGGTACTGATGAAAAACAACTGTACGATTAGTTTTCTATTTTTTTTTCTTCGGTTTAGGAAGTGAAATAAGCTTAAGAATTCGACGAGATGTACCCATGGAAATCGATGGTGAACCATTTTTACTTGGTCCTTGTCAGATAAACATAACTCGACAGAATCAAGCCCAAATGCTTATGACTGAAGATAGTCAAGCGGCGCAACAAAGTCAAACGAAACGTTTTTAAAATCCTTATAAATCTTTCATTCGTTTATTTTTCACGATAACAATCCGTCGTCAGTAATGATTTGAAAACAACGAATGACACGCGATGAATGTTAGTCGATTCAATGTATGGTTTTTATTTTTAATTGATTTATCCTACTAAATTCTATTTTTTGATATTCTTTACTTCACATATTCATTAGTTTTTTTTTACTAATGAATAGTTTTATGCGTGTGATATTGCGGTTTCTTTTATTTTTATCTCAATCGTTTTAAGAAATTTCTTGTTTGAATATGAACGTTCTTGTATGGGTGCTTTCTTTTTTTTTTTTAATTAAAATTTTATAAACGAATCATAATCCATCTTTGCATTGCTGAGATCGACTTTTAGGCGCCTTCCACATGTTTTACATTGTGACAGCAAGTGTTTTTCTTTCCGAGACCTGTGCAAAAGCTGCTACTCTAATGTTCAGAGACATGTCATTCTCTTGCTCCATGCATTGAATACAACATTGATAACAATAACTGATTTCTTTTATAAAAATTAAAATACAAAAAGATGCTAATTAGTACTGTATGGTATTTTAATGAAGCATTCTTATACAGTTGCCCACTGAGGATAGAGCAACTACTAATTTCCATGGAAGTGCACATTTATCAATATCAACTAATAGTTGCACACTGCGTTGTGTTCGATGATGATCGAGAAAAATTTTTCTTTGATCACAATCTATGGATAATGTGACTTCATCTCCTTCCAGAATTTCTATGATGGAAAATTTTCTTCTAACTACACCAAGTACAACAGCATAATCACATCGCCACCAACCATAAGCAGTAGTCAATGTGGAAAATATTGACTCGGGATCATGTTGAGTATGTGTAACAATACCAAAATAAAAGTTTCCATTCGTCTTTCTCTCGATTCGAAATCGAATAAGGTGTTTTCCTTTTGAATAAAGATTAGCTCCGAATAGGATAGCCGATCTTCTTAATTTAGATCCTGAATAAGTAGCAACCAGATCCTCGTCGGACAATTTAACTGCTTCATCTTGTCTAGAAAATTTTTCCAGCTTAGCTGCTGTTGAATTTCGATTAATAGAAGAGTTTCTATGTGACGTCGTTGCCGGTTGTGTGTCTTCGACTGAAATAAAATGAATAATTGATTTCTGATCGTCATCAACATCACCATTTAAATGATACAGACTCATCGATTTTTCAAGGTCAAGGCGAATTTGAGTCAACTGATCGATCCATTTCTTTAAATCAAGTTCCGTATAATCCTCGGCTTCTCTACTCATTTGAAGTTCGCTCTTTAATCGATCCATCGTCATTTTAAGTGATTGTTTCGTTTGACCGATGAATTTATTTAAATCATGTCGAGCTTGATTTGCTACTTGCTGAATTTTATTAATCGATTCTCGTTCCCATGTATCTATGCGAGATAGAAGCGGATGATGGGTGGTCTCGTTGTTTATATCTCGTTGAAGAATATCATGTTCTTGGCCTAAAGTTTCGACTTGATCAGTAAGTTCTTGACGGTGTTCGTCAGCATGTTTTCGACAAAATGATTGTTGACAACCATGACATGTAAATATACTACTGCCTTTGCCACATTTCGAGCAAGGCCTTTTTCCTGTTATAGCTGTTGTCATACGTTTAGTTTAATAGGAAAAAAAAGAACGAAACCAACATAAGAATACTAATATTATTGATGATCGAAATTTGAAGATATAATTACTTCATTTGTTTAACAGAGGGAATGATTGAAAATAACACTTGACGAAAGAGATAAACAAGATAATAGTGCATTCTTTCTTTTTCATATTATTTGGATAGAAAGGTAATAGTAATACGAAATACCCAGATGGCGCTTAGCAACAACGAATAGGAATAAAAGAATTCAATACTCGATGAAATATAATTACATTCGAGTGCATTGACAGTAGTCCATTTTTACTGGAGTTAAAATAAAATGTTTCTCAAGATCAGTGTTTTTAATATTAAGTACCACAAGCAAAAGCAAAGTACCCGTGGTACTTACGATTTTGAAAAAGTACTTTGTTTTGCACTTTGCTTGGAAAAACAAAATACCTTGATGGTACTTTGTAAAATAAAAAAGTACTTTGTTTATTTGTTAGCCATTGTTTAAAATTTCGTATCTTTCCTTTTGTTTATATATTCTGTTGTATTTATAGATGAAGCTAAGAAGTATTTTTTAATTTGATTGAATTCATTATTGAAATTTCTTTTCTTTTTCTAGATATTGAATTGAATCTTGTTCTTGTAGATAACTTACTGGTTCTTATTTAATATTTAGCAGTGGTTCTTCTTTAATTTATATTTATTTATTGAACTGATTTATTTAATATATTGTGAAAAAAATTAGGTGAGTGCAGTAATATTATTATTACTCTCCTTTATTTACTATGCATGATTAGATTTATGATTATGACTGAACCAACAAATCTTGATAAATCATCCAGCCAAAGATTATTAACGGCTAATATTAATATTGATAATTTTCAGAGTGAAAAGATTTTAAATGATCGATCTGATTTACCTGTTAATGATAACAAAATTTCAGATCAAGAAGAATTAGTTATTATTGATGAAGTTGAAGCAGAAATTATATTGGATTCATCTAATGAAAATAGAGCACTTATATCAATAATTAAATTAGGAATTTCAACTGAATCAACTACGTGGTTTTGTGAAGATTGCATCGACATGCATGAAGAAGAAGAACAATAGTAAATTGTACTTTATTTGTTTTTTTTGTATACACAATACTAAAGGTTAATTCAGAAAAATGTTTATTTAAGCTAGTCAGATGAATATGTGTAGTTTATCTTTATCTACAAGTCTTTTGTATATTGTTTTTTTGTACCAAAACATTTTATTAATTAAAAATAGTCAATAGCATATATTTTTTCTTTGTTTTTCGTAAGTATCTTCCTGTTGGCACACTTTGGGTACTTTGTTGTTCATCACAAAGTACCACCTAACACTTTGCCAATAGAAGCAAAGCACCTAAATGTACTGTGTTTTAGATTTCTGTTAAAAACGCTGCTCAAGATGCTGCAATACTGATTGCTAGTGTGAAGCAAAAAACGAATTCTACCAACAAAATAAAATTCGCACTCTTGGTAAACAACTAACATTAATATTAATTGATGTTTCTCACGCCATCGAAATATATGTCCGATCGGTGGCTCACCCTCGCTCGAAATCATAACAACGACCATGTTTCCGATACAAAAATTGTCGTTAGTGATTAGTCATTCAATAAACATTTTCGTCAGCATTCAGTCTCACAAAAAATTCATTTTTACACTTTCTCTTCCTTCAAATTATAAATGTTATTTTAGGCACTGGTATTAATAGACCGAAAACAAATATAGTTATCGCGGAGCTTTTTCACTAGGTAGAAAATATTTTATCATTCTGTTATTTCTACTCGAAGAATGTTGGAAAATTCCAAGACATGCTTGTTGTGGCCTCTTTGAGCGTTTTTATATAATCTATCGATAATTTCGAATACCTACATTAAAATTTGTATGAAATCAAGCTATTAATGGCATCTTCAACCAATAATTTTGATCATATTATCGTTTGGCTGGACCAAAATGTTGCTGAATCCGATCGTTATCCGATCATGAAAAGCGCCTTCAGAACTACTCTCGACCCAGACAATGCATTCCCAACGTCTATCACTGAAGAGGATGTTCCAAATAAGATTGATGACGAAACAATAGATCAGGAAGCAAATTTTCATTCAATTCCATTTGGTTTCAAATTGTTCGACGACCTGGATAAATGCTACAAGTTTCTTCTTGCCAATGCGGGTAAAAAGCGCATCTTTTTTATAACTTCAGGCGCATTGGGTCAATCCATCGTACCAAGGTTGCTCACTATGGATCCACAAGTATTCCAAGATAAAAATGGGGAACTTTACAAACATTCAATTTACATTTTTTGTGCTAATATGACTGCACACGCCGAATGGGCGGAAGAGTTTTTGGACTTAAACTGTATTCAAATGGGAAATGATGATCGGATGGTTTTGTTTTGGCTAACTCGGGATATTGCAAATTACTTTGTCACAAAAGGTAAAGAAGAATTAACCAAAACGGATATCGCAACAATCAAACAAGCTTATCAAGACCTTACATGGGGTAGAAGCCTCTACTGTAAAGCTGATTCTGTTAAAAAGGGGCTTCCAATAGATGCTTTGTTGAGGGAAATAGACAAACTGATTACGGAAGCCGAAGAGAAAATCAAGGAACGGGAAGATTGAATATACTTAACTACCGACAAGTTATTACCAACTAACTTAGCAAACTTTTCTCGAGTTATTTGCTTATGTGATCTATCTGCTGCTTAATGTATGCTACTAAATAATAGTTTTCTTTTTGTGCTTTAAGTAAAGTATTAAATGTCGACAAAATAATTCTAGCGTAATTTTTGGCCAAATTCGATCGAACAATGTGTGATTCTAACAATTATAGTGCTATCATTTCCTCGTCATTTTTATTAGCTATCATAAATGCTTATTATGACTATTGAAATTAGACGAATAAAGCAATTAGGTGACCGATGAATTGTATTATTATGCTTGCTAGTTTCTGTCAGAGTAAGTAGGATAGATCCATAACCAGAAAATTATTCACAATATTTGTTGATGAGCTCCCTGATATGATATCAGAACAGAATTCAAATTTAGTGGCAAAGAAAACAGATTCCAGAATTTTCTGTTCAATTTTTAGCAAATATTTTTCACTGACAACTTTATAGTCACATTACATACATATCATCGTGCACGCAAAAATCTATACCAGCAATGCTTTTGGCCACTCAAAAGTTTAACTTGATGACTAATGAAAAAAGCTTTTAAAATGAAGAAAATTTCAAAACGCTTCTAACAGTTTGAAGAATATGATTGATTTTAAGTGCACATTATTCATAGTTGCTCGATAGCAATTTAAAACCTCCCGTAGTTATCAATATTAAGAGTTTATTGCTAAGAAAATAAACGAGCGCAATCAGAAAATAATATCTATTTATCGCTGTTTTATTGAGATTCGATTATCAAACACGAAGAACGATAATTTCAGTTGAATCGTATATCGATACAGCAATATCAGAACGCGACATGTGTAAAAATTTCACTCCAACCAGCTGACTATTTTCAATGTGATGATTGCATTCGTGTGAAATCTTAATTGAAAAAAATAAATCAAAGCAAGTAAAATTCTATCACATTCGAAGCAATTCAAATTTACCTGTAAATTTTCTGCATCGCCTGATAATTGCCAAATTCGCACATAACAATCATCACTAACAGATGCTACTAATCCTTCTTCATTACAATCAATGGCATTAATGCATCGCGAATGGGCAGCAATAGTACCAGCAACTTGACCTATTTAATTTTAAACAAAACCCGAAATAGTCTACTATTCTCTTACCACTTTCTGCATCAAAAAATCGAATCATTCCATTGGCATAGCTTGCTGCAATACAATTTTTCCATAGTGATAATGATGTTATACCACTATCATCCATGGGTTCAATAGCATTTGTTTGTAATAGGGTACGATTATTCCAGATTAAGATAGCGCCAGTAGTATCACTCGAAATTAGCAGCGTGCCATTTGATACTAAACCGGATATACCATGTTGATGAGCTATAATATGAAAATTAGTTTGCGCATGTAGTTACGATTTCTTATTTACCTGGAGTAGTTTCTCGCAAAAATATATTTGAGCCTTTTTGAGGGATACTAAAGATGAGTATTTCACCTTGATGATTACCTAGAAAATAAAATAAAATGATGACCGACGATAATTGAAATATACTTGCCAACACAAAGAAGATTTGGACCAACGCCAGCAATACCTCGGGAATAAATAGAGGATTCTAAATGCAAAATGTTAATTTACTTTGAAGTTTAATATTATTTATACCTGTTCGGCTAGGAGGAGTTTTATCAATCATATGAATATGAAGAAGTGTTGTTCCATCTGGTTCATAAATCTACGTTGGAAATTTAAGTAAGGCCTTCTTTAAATAAAGATTCACTCATAATGAATAGCCAGTACTTTTTTAATGCTTTTATTCATCAATAAGGTTAAGCGAAAAAGAAGACAAAACATCGATCGTTACACGAAAATCTCGATAACTTACGACAAACATTGTATCTTTGTCAAATAACAAAATTCTTCGCTATACAGCGCATTCGGGAGAACTATTTTTGCTAGTTCCATCTGTAAATATAACTACTCATGATATAATTCTTATTCGTTGTTTATGTTATAATTATATATAAAACGAAATATTCAACCAGCAATCTGTGACATACTTAAAAAACTGAGCTAATAACAACGTTCTTAGTGCATTTACCAGATTGTCAATTTACTGTTAAAATACATTCTATTGAAAAATATTCCATCATTTTCCAATTGATCAGATAACAATGAGGCTTGCTCGTTTACTAAAAGCTTAGGTCTTTTTCGCAGCGTTGAATCATACAGAAAAAAAATCTGCATTTTGCATTTGATTGCATTTTTATAAACAAAAGCTGGATGGCCATTCATTATGAGTTATTTCTTACCTGAATACTTTTCGTACAAGCTAGAACAAGTAGATTCCGCACGGCTAAATTAACATATGCAGCCTATCAACAAACAGTAAACTATTAAAAAAAACAATCTCTCATAGTGATTGGTTTACTTTACTTGAACAATATGAGCAATATATCGAGCGTCATTTTCTGGTGCTGGAGTATTATTGTTACTCATAGCTCGACATATCACTTGCCCTTGAATTTGTTTAGTGCCATCTTGAGAAACAGTCGCCTAAATTATTGATGATTTCAATCGTCTATCATTATTATGAAAATTTTCATCCTACCATAGCAAAACCACTTTTATGTGATATACCGAACATTTTTGATTGACGCGGTTCAGAAGGACGAAATATAGCGAGATTATTTAACAAATGAGATGCACTCCACTTCACCGTAATGGGTTGATCTGCTTTTTTATATGAGATTGACATTTCTAAATGCAATTATCTAAAACTAAATACAAAAAAAACAACGCAGTTCTGTATTTGTATATATTAAATATAAGCGAAAGTATTTGAACTAAACTTTGAACAAAAAATGATGACTTCTTATGCGCACCCGTAACCAACATTTTCTGATTGCAAAAGAAAGGGCTACTTCAACAACTACTTAATTCTCTATCCAATAGTTAGTTAGCATTCAAATTCACAATAATAATTTCTTTTTTTGAATAACACAAGCAAAATTAGATGATATCGTACAAGTGAAATAAAAAATTTGCATTTCCGCCATTACTGTGTATCATTGCATAGAAATGTCTCCACACTGTCCAATGAATCACTTATGCATCTATCCAATAGGGAAACATTTGATAACATAAATAAAATCGAGCCTGAAAAATAATCTTCTATAAAAAATAATTCGATAAAATAATAAAATAAATCTGTATCTGTACTATATGAATATTCTTGTATACTTGTTTATTCTCTAACCTATCCCTATTTGTCCAATGAATATTTCACTCAGTTAAACTCCAACATTTTTTTTCTTCATCGAACATGTTAAAGTATCTATGTAATTTGTGTTTTTAGATTTTAAATATCTCCATACGACATGTCATCGCCGCTTATTCAACCAGAAAAATTTCAACACATTCTTCGTGTTCTCAACACGAACATTGACGGTCGTCGAAAAGCTGGTTATGCTTTAACAGCAATCAAAGGTGTTGGCCGTCGTTTTGCTCATGTTGTTATTCGAAAGGCTGATGTTGATGGAACAAAACGTGCTGGTGAATTAACCGAAGAAGAAGTCGAACGTATTGTAACAATAATTGCCAATCCACGACAATATAAAATTCCGGATTGGTTTCTCAATCGTCAAAAAGATATTAAAGATGGCAAATTTTCACAAGCAACATCTAACAATCTTGATACGAAAGTTCGTGAAGATTTAGAACGTATGAAGAAAATTCGTGTCCATCGCGGTCTTCGTCACTATTGGAACTTACGTGTACGTGGTCAACATACAAAAACAACTGGCCGACGTGGTCGTACTGTTGGTGTCTCGAAAAAGAAAGCGTAAAACCAATTATGAGATTTTCACTGTTTTTGATCTTGTTATTTATCATCGTTAAAAAAAAAGATTAAAAACAAGAATTTAAAATAAAAAAGAAACAACAAACGCTAGAAGAAAAGAATTTTTAAGATAATTCAAAGTATTTTTACTGCACTCAATCTAACGCATAAGAGATTATTTTAATCTGCTATTAACAAAGGAATTTCTTCTGTTAAAAAAAATCTCCTTTGAAGTGAAAACTGTACACAAAAATGAGCTAGGAAGAATATCATAGATTAATTTATTCATTATAGAAATACTGCACTTTTTAATTAGTTTCTTTCTTAAATTAATGACATGGTTCATCGCAAAAAAACACAGGATTTCAATTTGAAAATGTATATAGAAACGTGTCTTCATAGATTCTCACATTTGAATCTTTTGCATTTCCAGTTATGCTCAAAAGAAAAGTGTCGCAACTCCCACGAAACACTATTATCACGAAGACGTGTCTCCAGTCGATATTCCAAAATCAGTTTTCTTGAGGGGACTACTGCATTCACTTGAAAAAGTGCAGTTTCTTCTCAGTAATAAACAAAGAATACAAACTCGTTTCTCCGCATCAATTGGTTATGTGAATGTAAATAAAAAGCACATAGACTCGATCCGAAAGCTTTGAAATTCGTTGGAGGAGTCTTTCTCAGAAAGTAATAAACGACGCTTTTACGTCTGCTGCAAGTAGCGTAGAGATTTTATGAAACTTTAGAATCTTCGCAGTCGACGAGGTGTTAGGAAAAAAATACTATTTGGATTTAGCAACATGAACTTTGTTATGATTCATTGCATGTCTACATGATACTTTGGAAATTATTTTTTCCAGGCTCGCTTTTATATTTAGAGTAAATCTATTTATACTTTCTTTTTCCTCTCTACATCAAACACTAATCTGAAACTCGTGTCGTTTAACATTGAAGGTTTTTTTGTCTTCAGAGAAGAACATTAAGTAAATTAAAAGTCTCATCAATAGACTATCTTATCCAAACTCGCAATTATACATGCCGTGAACTATAGAACAGAGTGGAGTTATTGACAACATATATCAGATACTTTTTCTAGTGCAGCTCGATCCAATCATGAAAAAGTCATATCACAAATAGCTAGAAAAATTTATTATCTTGCATAATATTTGACACACGCAGCTCTTATTGAAGATTTGTTCCGTACCAGCAAGAGCTTCATTTTGACGGGAACATATGTCTAATGTTCTTTTTTCTCCGAGCACTAGAAATCTTCCATGATTATATTGAAAATGTCAAGTTATTTATTTCTATAGTATAAATACCATTAGAGTTTGAAATGAATGTCTCCTAAAATATTCGTAATTCTGGAAGTGAATATTTGTTTTTTATTATATCACGAAAAGATAGTGTGCGTCATATTAATAGGCAGAAAATTCTCACGAACACTAACATTACATTTTAATCAGGCATGTACCTAGCATATTTTCTCTGCCATAACAAAAACTTATTTGAAAAGATAATATCGAGACTGCTCTCTGCCAATAATCACGAGAGTAAAGACATAATGAAGCCAATCGTTCGTTGCTATTAAACTTCTTCAACCTGAACAGAATCGTTATTTTCTATCAATGCCAGACAATTGTTGTATTTCCCTTCGCTCGAAATACTATTGGTGAAATAATTTTATTAAGGGCCGTTCTTGAGTTTTTGGTCACGTTTTATTATCTCACTGCACTATTTGCTCTAAATCAACCGAGGAGTTACCAGAATCAGTTTATTTATTCGAGATTTGCCAACTATCAGGATATTTCAGTAAATCCACACTCACACCTTCTATGCACGGACAGACCACGTAGGATTCATTCCAATATGCTTGCTTACAGGCGTATTAGAAAATCTCGATTAACTCCAAAAACATAGGCCCCAACAGCTGTTGAATTGACTAATTCTTTTTTTCTCTGTTTTGAAATCTCTAATATCAACCATTGTGTGACTAACTTATATAATGTCGTCTATTTCGTATGGATTTGGCTTTGAGACATAAGTAAAAAAGACTATGGCGAATTTATGACACCGAAAAACAATCGAATCTATTCACTTTTATCGTGTCGTAATAGCACACAGTAGATAAATTGATGTCACCTGACTTTGATTTTAAAGAGCGAACAAAAGTCTATTTTCTTTCTTGTCAAATAACCAATGGCTGAACATGACCAACTATCATATATTTCTTGTCAGACAAGTTTATCGAGCTCCGACTATTTTGCAATTTGATCCCGTTTTGATCTTTCGATATGAATATGTGAAGCTATTATTATTGTTATTGTTGTTGCTGTTGTTTTATAAGATAACGATAGACAAAAAACAGGCGCTAAATGTTTATTCATAAAACATGGAACTGCCATGATAGATAAAATAACTATCGAGGATTGAAGCCAGCAATTTTTATCTATGGTTTTTCATATTTTTAATGACATATGGTCTCTAAGTTTGCAAGCGTAAGCTAACCATTGAACAATATAATATTGTATTGTCCGGAATTTTCTAAACAGATCACGAAGAATTTGACTTCACTTCTTCTATTGAGTGCAAAAGCTGATTAGCAAATTTTTATTTCTTGGAATTTCATGATGTAAAATATTTGAATCTTACGCGTTTTTCAAATATATATATATGTCAATCGTGTTTCGTCTTTAGTTTTAGTCCTTTGTACAGAAAAATTAGAGAAACAGCTAAAATGCAGAGTCTGGCAGCATCTCGTCTTTTTTTCAAATTAGGATTCTGAAGAAAACAATTGTAAGATGATAATTGCTAACCTTGATTGTTGTACGGAATAGATCTAATTTTATTTTATAAAACAGTGCATCTGAATTGTTGCATAAAAATTGAACTGAACTCACTGGGAACTGTTGTTGACTTCTTAAATATAAATGCTTGTAAATTGTCTTGAAGAAGCACACTGTAGTTTTTTCAACGCATTAAGTTTAAGACGAGTCCATCGACCTGAAGATCTCAATTTATGAGTAATCTAGTAATGCATCTGCCGTTTAATTATAAATATGAGACTATGGTTAGAGTTTATTTTCTCATTGAAAAAATACAGACCAACTGCAACATAGTTGTGGTTGATAAACTTTAAACTATGACGAAAAAGTCACCGGAATTATTTCTACTGAAGTGTTTATTAAACTAGCTATTAAGAAAAACTTTTCGCAAAAAGTGATTAAGTTACGACGACATTGTGGAACTTTGAAAATTTAAAACTCCGGAAACAAGAGAACGAAAGTATTTTATCGTGTGGCTAAAATCTCTTTTTACTTTAAAATCTCTATGATAGTTATTGTGCTTGAATCTCTAGCTAGTTGCAAAATGAAGAAAAGCCGAGGTTTTGTTTCGAAAAACAGAATCTTTTATTGAAACAGTACAAAAGCGCAGAAAAAATTATAAATTTAAGCATCGAAATACTGTTTGCAAATCATATAGAAAGCTGCTTAATTTTTTTCACTATTGATGAAAATTGTTGAAGAATATTATCATGATGTTTTGCCCGGATCACTCGATGAATCTTTAGTAGTTGTTACGTTCGATGATGACTGATTGCCGGATGTTGATGAATCTGATTGATTCGTTAAACTACTCCTATAACTATTCATATTTTGATTACTTGATGAAGAAGATCCACTTTGTTCATCAGCAGTATTATTACCATCAGTTATTTCTAAACATAGAAAATAGAACTTACAAACAACTCAACTACACCTTTACTTTTATACGTTCGTGGATCACCGCCGTTTAAACTCATAGAGAAGATCAATTAAACGAATTGAAAGAGTGCACGTGCAGCTGTATTGTAGTCGACCGAGCTGAAGTTATGATACTGATAGATACACGATTCGCTCTTTCTTATAAGCACAAAGCGCATGTAGACCTCAAAGTATGCACTTCGTTGGGACATTTGAGACTAATATTTTCTCTTCTTTTACCTCCTACTATTTCCTAATCTTTTTATAAGCATAACACGAATGTAAACAATATGTGTATACACATTGTCTACCCTAAAAAATAAAACCTAGAATGTTTTTCTCTGAATTGTTCTGCTTTCGTATACAGTAAATCGTGACTAAAAATCACGCGATAAAAGCCTACAGCGAATACCGTACGTCTCACAAACCGAATATTGATGAAAGGACATGCGAGTGCAAAATAATTCAGACAGTAATTATTCAGAATAGAAAATAAAATTTTATTAAGAATGAATGAAAATTCGAGATTATTGTTGCCTGGAATTTCTCATCATTTTTTTCATAGTTTTGACTGTTCATTATTTGCTTAAATAAATAATTGTGTGTATATTCTCCTTTCTTTCTTTTTCTTGTTTATCATTGAAAACATATTATGAACTCGTACATTCAGTTTGTGTCACCATCTCGTATGCCTTTAATACTTGTGTTTTTTTAGCGAAAAAAAGAAGAAAAAAAAGAGCAATGAAAAAAAAACGCAAGAGCAAAAAAGAAAAGAGAGAAAAACGAACACGACAAATGAAGATTTCTTGATTCTCATGTATGTGACGATGTATGTTGTTCGCTGGTGCAATACAATCGACATATAGACAAAAACACTTACATATGATTAACGTCATCAGTAGAAGAAGAGACAAACAAACCAGTTTAGATTTAAAGGACAAACAAGAAAAGACGAAACAGAAACTGTAAGAAACATACACACGTCAAGGGACAAGGATCACAAAAGACGAGCAATTTTTTGCTTTGTTAATAATTTGGTTGCTGGAAGACTGATGTTGATTTAGTCATGAAGTTTACTCCGTTTATAACGATGAACTCAAGCAGACGAATAAAAGCATGTACAAAAACATGAGAAAGCAGCAACCATGAAAAAAACGAAATCACACACACACACGCGCACGCACGCCCACACACATTGGTGACAAGTATAATAATAAAAGAAATCGAGTATGTGGATTGCTTTTAACTTTTTCCTATTCTGAACAAATCTTTATTTGACACCATTGCTTTGCTGCTTCGACGTTCGTTGACCTTTTGATCCACCACCGTTGTATGTTTCTGATGTTGCTAGATTGTTTGCATCGATACCATTATTCGACGGAGTTTGTTGAGATTTTTTTGTTGGTATTTGTCCACTGCTATTATAGTTCTCTTCATAATATTCAGCTGTGTTGTTGTTGTTATTGTTATTATTATTATTATATCGATAGCTACCACTACGATTACCACGAGGAACACTATATCGATAACGTTGATCGTTATACTGTTGTTGACCTTCTAAAGAAAGCAAAACAGAACAATTACGTTAAACTTGAAAATAAAAATTTACTAACCATTGAGTTCTTGTGCGTCATACATCGTATTTTCGTTATCATTATTTCGACGACGATCAACATAACCTGTAATGAAAAAAAATTTCATAATTAATATCATGATTTGATAATTTTGCTTTTGATTAAAACACAGCAAACGTGCGATCGGTTAAGTGGTTATTGATCAAAGAAAAGTTAATAAAAATAAAAATATAATAGCAGACTTTATTCATATGCACACCTTCACGCATAGGTAATGGTGGTCGACCACGTTTCCAACCACGTCGACCACCTCGTTCACCAGCACTTCTGGGTAGTGTAGCCGAATGAATCATACTGTCTGTACTGTAGCCAGCCTCTTGTTGTTGTTCACTCTCGACCTGTGCCGCCCAGTCACGATGTTTTCGACTGGTGCTAGCCGACGATGAAGCTGCTGCATCACCACACTCGCTGGCTTCGTCTGCGAAGATAAATATGATTACCCTTATTTCTCATACGGGACAATATCTATCGAAATGAAATTCTTTTTATTGAACTTACCGCCAGTACCAGCATCACTGTGTGCGCCACCACGATATGAATTACCGCCAGTACCTCGACGTCCACGATTACTATTACCACCAGGATAATTATTTGGTCGACGTGGTTGTTGATTATTATAATTATCAGTACGATGCTGCTGCTGTTGTTGTTGTTGCTGCTGTGGAGGATATTGTTGTTGTTGATAACCTGAGTCGCGATAATTTCGTCCAACACCAGTATTACTTGTTCGATCAAATTCATAACTGAAATTGAAAAGAAAACTTGAATTTTGCATTCAAGCGGTATTTAACATTTTCTATAGGTATTCTTGTTATATATATATATATACCTCATTTATTTTCATTTAAAACATCGAGCTCAAGTGCAATACGTGAGAAAGTTTTCCTTTTGAAAATTTTGACAAACTCAATACCATCAAGTGCTTCTCAAGAATGATTACTTTTATAGATCTTAATTAAAAAAACCAGGTATTAATATGCTACAATACGTAGGCTCGTTGGAAATGTGCGACCAGCGAGATATGAACAAAAGAAAAATATCTGTTTTATTAAAGTAATCCATCTCAACCTATGTGTTGTAGAGGAGACTCAGACTCCTATAATTCTCTTACCGTCCACCACGTCCACTTGGATAGCCCATATTGCTAGCTACATTCATTCCGGCTCCTTGTTGTGGACCAGCAATCGTACGAAATTGTTCGTTAACTTGAAGTTTCTTTTCTTGTAGTTCATCGAATTCCTGTTTGGAAGAGTAAAAAAAACTTGTCATTCTTTTTGATTCCATTCATAGATTCTATACCTTTAAGCAAGCTAAATGATACTCGAGTAAGACTCGAGCATTCGCAATACTTTCAGCTGTACCAACAAATATGAATGGAACTTGATTCTATTGAGGTAAAAGAGAAAAAAGCGAAATTATTTTTTTCTTTTTCATTATCAAAACTTACCGGATGACTATTTTCATCACGTGGCGGTGTTTGTTCATTGTCTCCTTCAATTTTAACACGAACAACACCACTTTTATCGACTATTTCCTGAATGATATGACCTTTTTTACCAATCACTTTACCTAGAAAAAAATAAACATTCGAATTCATTTTTCACATAAAAGAGAAATATTATTTTTCTTTTGATTCTTTACCAATGAGTTCTCGTGGAATTGATACAACATCTTCCGTATATTCAAGTATACTACGTGCTTCTTTGACAGCTTTTTCAGTCTGAAAAACATAAACCCGTTTTTTCTCTAGTTTCAATCGGCAACAAAAGTAAACTGCTCACATCGCCGAACACTTTAATTGTGCAAGTTTCATCTTCGACTTCAACTGCTGTTATACCGGGTACTTCACGTGCTTTGAGTATATTTGATCCGTGTGAACCAATGGCAAGACCCATTAATTCAGTTCTTACAGTAAATTTTTCGAAAAATTTGGATGTTTGATTAACCATAATTCGCTATAGAAAGAAAACAATACCCATCATGAGAATTTTTATTAAAATAAAAACAATTTTATTTTACTTCAAGTTGCTTGGAAACTTTTTCAGTTTCTTGTACGAGTTTAGCTTTTGAACGTAAATTTCGAAAATGCATTTCCGATAGTATTTGTGCACGATGAAGAGTGGCTTCATTATCTGACTAAAATACAATAATAATAAAAGGACGCTGTTAGTAATGTAATTCCTGTGGAATTAAAAACTATGAAACATGACACCGTTGCCCTTGCTAATCACAGAGAAAATTGTTTTATTGCATCTATCTTTAGACAGAGCTTTATTTTACTTCAGAAATACACTAGGGAAGTAGTTCATATACGATCTTTGATTGTATAATCGAAAAATCTGTAACGAAGAACGGAGGATATTTCAAAGATGTCTGTCAGAAATCGGTTCAAAGCTTCTAGTCTTGCACATTATTTCGATCGTGTTTTATAAAAATATCAACGACAAAAATCCGAACTTACGATAACAACAAGACATGTTTTTTGTTTGTCGTATCGAACAACTAGAGCACCACTTGTTCGTTTGAAGTCTTTATGATTGATTGGATTATTACATCTGAAAGTGTGAAAAAAACATTTTGTTTTCTTGTCATAGTTTTCAATACGCAAAAGATAACTCACGCTTCTTGAATTTCTTTAGGAACAGCTAGTTCTGCTTTTTTAAACATTGAATAAGTAATAGGTGGACTACGCGAAGAAATAAATTTCACGTTAAATATTTAATTATAAAACATACTTTGTGTTTGGACAGCGAATTTTATCACTAGATATAATATCCGAATAGCTAGCTCCTTGAGCACTGACTTTATAATCAACGACGAAAAAATCGCCTTTGAACATTTTAGCAGTTGCTGGCCACCAGCCAAGTGGTTCATCTTCTTTTGCTTTTGAAAGTACCTGGAGTATATATATATATATAGATGTAGATGAACGTTTCAAATGTCATATCAATGAATATTCATACCTCGCATGGATCACCAGGTGTTAATTTTTTCAGGTCGATTATTTCTGGTGGAAGTCGAATACGATTTTCAGAAAAGGGAATTTTAGTTGGAGGGAAAAAACTAGAAAATACATATTAGCTTTTTTTCAACATTTGTTCCAATATTTATTTTATTACTCTTGATCATATTTGACATCAATACCGGTTGCATCAACATCATGCACATATGCCTGTAAAAAAATTGTTTGAGATGTTAAAATTATATATAAAAACTTACTTTGTAATAGGCTCCATTAGGATGTCCTACTTCAACACTGAGATCGTTCATTTGTGATTATTTTAACTAATTTTATTTAATCAGATCGAACGCCTTAATGCGGCGACAACGACGACAACAACAGAAAAATGTTTTTATTCTAATATTCTTTAATACATGCAGTGAACAATCGTTTACGATGTGCTTTCTTTCTTTGCTTGATGTTCAATTAGAGATAATATCTACAATTTAACTGATAAAGTACACAATAGAACTTAGTAATATTCTGACTAATACAGAATAGAAATGTTTTCATTCATTCTAAACATAAACTGACAAATAGAAATCATGTTTTTCTCTCTTTTTTCCCTTTATGGTTAAGAGTTTGACGAAGAAAGTCAATACACGGAAGACTTGTTTATTTATTTACTTTTTAATTCTCTTGAACACTGATTCGTTAATAAAATTTTCGTTGGTAAACCCTGGAGCGACCTCTGCTGAACAAAAAATGGATGAAAGATAATGATTTTGATGAATATTACAAATATGATTTTAGATAAAACTTAATTTTACAATAGTTTAAGTGTTAATCGATTGTGCGTATAGGAAAAAGAACGCTTTTGTCTAAGATGTCGCACTTCAACGCATGCCTGAATCATGTGAAGCATATATATATATATTTATATATAGAATTAAGCATAAGTTAAAAATGAAAATATATTATTTCAATGGCGAAGAATCAAAATTGAGCTTGACTTCGTGTCGATTCTACTAATCCATTTGATGATGATGGTATCGGTGCTACAATTGTAACAGTTACAGGAATATTTTCTGTTGAAGCACTATTATTAGTTTCGTTTAGTTGTTGTAGAGTTTGTTCATATGATGGTGGTTTAGCAAATATATCATCGGATACAGACGTATAACGAGGTGGGTATGGATATGCAAGTGAGGATTGTCTACGCGCATCATTATTATTCTCATTAGTTATAATGCTTGTCGAACAGTGTTCTGCTTGGTCTAGATACAATAAAAAATATTAATACATAAGACTCAAATTTTCGTAGTTTTCTATACGTCTATTTAATCGTCGTTGTCTGCAGCGAGCATAGATATAGGCAGTTATGATGATTACCAAAATACCTAAGGGTATTAGTATTGCAACAGCACTATAATTGATAAGCAAGAGACAAGACGAAGTTATTATTGCTTACTTGAATAATTCTAATTATCTTACACATAAGTCGATACTCGAGTTGGACAAGTTTCATTTACGTTAGTTATTTGATTATAGCATTGAGCCATATTGATTTGACCTCGTAATAATAAACAAATACAATAGCGTGTTCGTCAAGTGGTAGGTTTTTCTTGAATGAATAATATCGTCAGTCGATTCTGTACCGTGCATGATCAACAATCCAATTTTTCTTTCGTTTTTTTTCTTATTCGTTCGCTTCACGTAACAGATAAGTACGAAAAACATGAAGGAGCGCATTCTCTAAGGCTCTCCACCTTTCTGTCGTTTCTGTAGCATAATTTAGGACTGTACTCTTCTGACTCAGCGTCACGCTTGATGCTCACAGTAATCAATGGTGGTGTCATGATGCGCAAGAGCTAACTTAGTTCAATCACTACGTTCTTGATACGATTCGGTGTACTTATCTGAGTAGGCTTATGTTTATTCGTTGTATCTTCATAAAATAGTTTCATTTTGTTAAAAAAGGCTTTAGAGAAAAAAAAATGATGACTGGTAAAAATCGCATCTTCTTTACTCATCAAATAACCACCGTAGTTTATTGATGTATGTTAAGGCGAATAGTAGTCAAGGATAAACAAACAATTAAATATTGGCCATATCGATGCGTATTCTGTTTTGTATCGTTCATGCAGATTTCTTTTAGAATATTAAGTTCGGTGTATTCGAACTTATCCAAAAAACGTACATGAAATGATTTTATTTACGGTAGAGAATTGTGAATTCATTGATTTTTATTAAATTAATACATTTTAGATCAGAATAATTTCGTTATATTCTGAATGAAACTTCTCAATATTTTCATTTTGAAAATTCCGATCTACTTTTGATTAATAAATTATTTTCATAATAAATTACCTGTATTGGAAATGGATGCATTATTTTTCTCGTTCAAACGATACATATTCGAACATTCGTAAGTTCAATCGTCGATTTCATTCAACTTCTAGTTTTTTGCTCATTGAAAAGTGTCCAATACAAACGCATGCGTCAATCCGATAATGGTTTATCTGCCAAGAAAATGGCACCGTAATGTGAATTTCTTTTGTCTCCTACGTTGTTGACAAATCGAGCGCAGTGAATACTAATCACGAGTAACAATCAGAACTTGATCGACCTTCAAATAAATTAGTTAGAAGGTCAACATCGCTCTTTTTTTTCAGCCAAACAACGATACTATCAATATAAGCACGATATCTAAGCAGTTGATCTCGTATACGAGAACTCAGCAGTGTTTTTTTTCTATTACCAATAGAAATTTCACATCAAATAAATGTAGTTTGCTTGACGATTGATATTCTCTTCGGAGATATTTATCTTTACCTTGCCTCGAGTGAATCGTCTACTATACATATACACTCTGAACATTTATTTCCGTAGGTGAACTCAAGTTCTATGCAAGAAAATAAAATGTTCTCGACATAATGCAGAAATTACAGTGCCTCAGGGCCATATTATCTGAAAGTTCCCCTATTTGTGATGGAGCTACAGCAGCACGTGGAGTTTCCTTGGCGAATAAAAGACAAACAATTGAAACCAATGATAAGACAGAAAAGTGACAAAGAATACCTTTGATTTTTTAAACCAGATACATTAAGACCAAGCAACCTTGCTTACGATCAAAATTGATCGAACGGTATTTTTGATTACATATATATATATATATATTGCTTGGCACACCACATATACATGCTTCTCTCATAAGAAAAAAAATAATACGATTCCATTCGTGAATTAAATTTTATCAAATATGTTCGAGCAAAACCAGATATTTTATAATCATCAAAATATTCCTTTAATCCTTTGAGTTCCGACTTTTTTCTACCGAATTTAAGTTCGATAAAACATCCTATAAAGTAACCAGATGATATTACGAAACCTCTGGTTAGGTTAAAATAAAACACTGTGTAATTATATGATTATCTATTTATTCATTTCAAAGTTGATACACATAGTTTTGATGATGCAAAGAAAAACAATTTTGAACTTTCACTTTCATCGGATAAGGTTTCGTGAGAATCTGAATCCATTATATTTCAGAAAACAGTTAGGTTTTCATCACGACACAATGAATCAAAACACGAAGTTTTCAAAATTTAGATTTTTGAAGAAAACTTTCCGAAATCAAATAGACATACCGCAGTACACTTTTCGGCATTGTCTATTCATACGGATATCTGTACAGTCTCGCACAAATATGTCTTAACTACGAACATTTGTTAAAAATATTCCTTCTAGATCTTAAAAAGCACAAACATTTTTGAAAATTAGAAATTTTCGGTAGGCGGTACATATATGTACCACCGGGACTCAAAGGGTTAAACATATTTCTAACTATTCTCTTTGATACAAACGATTATTTGTAACCCATTGTATGCATTTCTATAATTATTTCGTTAGAAAGCCTATGTTTTGTTAATAATATTACATAATCTATTTTACCTTTACAATCTTCTATTGTTTGATAAAAAGATATATATTTTGTATATAACTACATATTTTGCTTTTATTCATCATAATCGATCAAAGACAAATATTTAAAGAAAAACTGAGGCAAAGAAATAATAGTTTAATCATTTTCTCATATTTTTCGAAAAAAAACAGATAAACACCAGATATAGCCGACAATTAATGAAGACGATATAAATCAAACAAAACAAAAGAAATAATGACAGAAGTCCACACTTATAAAGACACTCACTCACGCACACACACAAATATTTTTAAACAATTTGAGATTTTTTTCTCTTTTCTTTTCGTCACAGAGCTATGGAAACAAAACAACAGACAAAATATTTTTTTTTCGTGTGCAAAGAATTATCAGACATTTGGTTTGAACAACAAGCAAGAAGACAAAAAAAAACAGAAAAAAAGACGAAGTGCAGCACTTTTTTTCTTGTATATATTCAAAAAAAAAAGAAACGAACGGACAATCGCACATTCGTCTGATCTACTACATAGTCTAACTCATCCACAAAGAAGAAAAAACTGTATGATAAATATATATGACGAGTACGCGAGCAATTTATTGAACACAGTTATCACTGAGAGACCACACGTACGTCGCACATAAATTTGCCTACATGGAAGCTAGAAAAACAGATTCCTGATTAATCTAGGAGATGAAAGATGTGAGCATAACCCACTCTTAAAACGAAAAATAAATGCGGGCTGCACAAAAGAATGAGAGAGAGAGAGAGAGAGAAACGACTACAACCACAGTGACGAATAATTAGATGGATAGATATTGATTTTCTCTTTGTAAAAAACAAGCACACAAACTCACTGTTGATGATTAATGAATAAAGACAGAACAAACAAAAAAAGCACATTGCGAGACATTTTTTATACACACGGATTTATTTTTTATTTTACGCTCTTCATATCCATTCAGTATATATATATATATATATATATATAAATATATTTTTTAACCTTTAAGCCAAATATGTTCAAGCAATGATTCTAGTGACGGTCGACGATCAGGATTCGGTGCTAGACAACGTTGTATTAAATTTTTTAACTCGGGTGATAGATGTGGTCTGAGAACCAGTTTATATCCGGTGATTTCTTCTTCACTTTCAAATGGTAGACTACCACACACCTAAATAATACGAGTTGTAAAATAACAAAAATAAAAAATGCAAAATGCTCTACGAACCATATCGTAAAGTAGTACACCAAGTGTCCACACAGTAGACGGTACACCAGCATAGCGTTTTTTTAGAATATATTCAGGTGATTTATACTGTTTTGTTCCATGAAAATCTGAATAATGTGATGTTGGACATTTATAAATGGCACTGGCACCAAAATCGATTAATACAAGCGATTCTGTATCAAGATCAACTAAAATATTTTCACTTTTAAGGTCGCGATGAACAACGCCTTTCCTAAAAACAAAACAATGGCGCATGCAATTAAATATTCACTTCAGATTTCCAATTATACTATCTATTATGTCGCTAAAGTACTCGACAATAGACCAGATTTTTCTCTTTCTAAGCTATTTTCTTTGAGCAGTGCAATCACGTTTCGAGAATCAAGCCTACTACCTAGACTGAAAATTTCCTTGAAATATGAGCAATTACTTTTCTTCGAAAGATCTCATGCTAATCAAATCCTATCCACAGAAATTCGGATATCTCCTCCATTAATAATTAGTCGTAGTCTAACGACACTTCTTTGTATGATGCATTTCCGCATCATTACTTTAAAAAAAAATGTGGTCCCTGGATTTTTGTAAAATATTCTCTTCATTTTTCTCATGGTTTCTTTTCTTTTTATTATTGTGCATTCGATTTGATCTTCACGTAAGAATTACTTCATTCGTGATTGTGCACTGAGTGGGAATCGCACAGCGTCATATTTCTAAATCCAATATTTTCTTTCTTCTTTAACTAACATTCTTGCGTCAATACTCTTTATTGTATCTATTTAGTCTTAATAGCATTTTTGTCTACGAAGAGCGAAAGAGAATAAAACGAAAACTCAAAGGTTATCTTAATCTCATACCGTATCATTGCTAAATTGATTTGAACTAATTGTTGAAAGAATTTTCTTGCTGTTGCTTCACTAAGGCGTCCACGATCTTTGGCTTCTAGAAAATCGAATAAATCTTGACAATTACGTAGACGTTCCATGACTAATATCCAATGTTGTGCATTCTCGAAATAATCAAACACATGAATAATACCTAAATCGAAAAGTTCAACTTTTTGCCTTGAACAATTATTAGAAAACCAAATTTTCTACCTTGTATTTCATGTACAGCTTTATGCAGTAAAATTTCTGCTGGATATTTTTTTTGACAAATCATCAGCCAATTTTTAGTTTTTTCTTTTGGAATGAATTTGACTACAACTGGTTTATTGTCACTTAAACGAACACCTTCGTGTATATCAGAAAATCCACCGCTTCGTACAAAATCACCCAATTGATAATAATCACAAAAATTTGATTTCACAACATCAAAACGAACCATATTAAATAAATTTTGTTCAATTGTCAATGACTCAACGGGTGGAGAATAGTTAGTTGCCGTTTTAATCGGTATAGATATGGTTGTGTTAGAATTGGCTGGTGGAGTTTGTTGTGTACGTGTTTGATTGATGAATATTTCTTTTTTTGGTGGTAATGATGACGATGACGAAGACGATGACGACGAAGACGTATTGGAACCGTTGGAAGCAAATTGTAATTGATCATTTTCATACGGACGATACGTATTAAAACGTTTTGTTGTCGATGCTGAATTTTTATCATTGGAACTCGTTGATAAAGACGACGATCCTGATATAGGCGGCTGATCCTGTTCACGATAGAATCCAACGGGTAAAATACGTGTAGACATGTATGATGAGTCTTCAATAAATTCGTTTATTGATGATGATGATGATGATGATGATGACGAGGAAGATGAAGAAAGAGAAAATACAGCTAGACCAGTAGAATGCCGATGATCTTCATTAATATGTAAAGATGATGGTAAAGATGATGATGAAGATGATGATGATGCTGATGTCAATGAAGTTGATATTAATATTGAGTCCAATTCAGATAAGTTTTGATGGTGACTTTCTATAAACAAAAGAAAATAAATACATAAAATGAATTGAAAATTTGACGAGATATTAAATTATAATAAAAGACAAATATATCTACACACACAAACATGCACAGAGACATATGCTTGTTCTGTTTGCTTTAGTTTGACCGTTTAGAAGCAATGTACAAACGGCTATTTCTTTTTCTTCTTCTTATTCTTTCTTTCTGCTGTAGAGCCAGTCGCCGGTCGATGTCCATCGCATATGTATATATGTGTGTGCGTCAACACTTCACCGAATTTTTCTCCTTCTTCGTATTCTCGTTTTTCTTTTTTTTCCTTTACATTAACCCAATTTATGTACATACACTCACTCGTTCGACAGCTGAAACGAATATGTACCCGTCCGTCCACGAACGAAACTGTCCGGAGATACTATTTTTCTCTAGTCTTGACACTGACGCTGTCTCCTATTCTCTTGTCAGTGCAATACTTTTTCTCTTTTCTTCTCTTCTCATCTCATTTTTTGCCTCATCCAATACTATTATACCGCACATACGTTCAAGGTTGTTTCTTTATATAGCGTACATAGTGCGCAAGTTGTCACATACTTTCTTTAACTGATGCTTGCGGTTTGAGTTACGTAATAGAGAATAAGAGACATAAAGAAAGAAAGAAAGAAAAAAAAACGAGAGGAAGACTTGTCAAACACGATTCGCTGCCTGGTGTTTGTTTGTTCAACAGAAGACTCGATTGCTGTATTCTTGTCTTGTCTTAACCACAAAAGAGAAAAACCATTACGTATTCGCGAGGAAAAAATCAAGGAAGAAAGAGCTACCATATGAAACAACCACGAACAGGAGAAAGAAAAAGAACAATCTTTATAGTAAGCATAAATGGTAAACAGAAAAAAAGAGAGATTTTGTGGTCGATTTTCGAGGCTGTGCAGAATAAACATGCACTACATACTACTCTACATACGTAAGAGCATACATATTTGACGGCGGATAGTGGCTGATGTGTTTAAGACAGGAGAAGCATAAGATCATATGTTTCTTTCTCTTGATTTTCATCCTGCGTTTATTATTAACGATAGACTTGTCGAGACTTTTTTTTCTATAGCACTCGTTCAATTCTTTTTTTTCCTTTTCTCTCTTATCATAAATAAAAAAGAAGCAAAAGAAAAATGATGAAGAAGAGAACGTCCTTGTCACAACACATCTATAAAATCCAACAAAAAAATAACAACAAAAAACAAAAAACTTGTTTTTCTTGCTGTATTTTATTGCTTTCTTTTATTGACTTTAACTATAGCACGCAAGACCTTGTAATGTCGCCCATCATCAGATTCTGTTACTACACTAGTATACATAACAACCTTGTTGTTCAATATGTGATCTTAGCAACCGAAAGAACACACAAGAAATAAAAAAAGACAGAAAAATGTATAATTAGCAATAAAGCCTTGATGTGTCTATTGCGACCCAGCGATCAATCGGATAGAGAAATTCAAGGCAAGGTATCAATAAAAAGAAATCATTTTTCTTGCAAACAATTAGTATGAGTGATAGAGCAAGGAGAAATAAATGAAAAGAACTAAAACAAGGCTTGAACGAGTTCACGTCGTTGCCATGTGGGGGCGAAGCTGACTACTACGACAACAAAATATACACAGCAACAGTAGTAGCACACAAGTCGATATACTACAGACGAGGTAGATTTTGTCTATGTAAACATATCAACAAACAAATCGTTTATCCAAGGGAGAAAAAAAAGACCGAGACAAGATTGTCAAGTGCAACAAACGATAATGACAACCAATTATTGAATTGGGATGTCGAGGGTGAGGAGTTGCTAATAGTGTATTTGCTAATAGTGTATTTGCTATAATTATCATGGAAATCAGTTTCTTTACATATAGGGATTCTTTCGATTTGTGTACGATAAAAATAATTAAATCGTGTAATTTTCAAGTACTCACTAGGTTTTAATTTAACAGCTGCTGCTGTCTTCTTCTTTTTATTGATAGAACTACATAAGCGTGTTACATAATAGGGCAATTTGTTTGTTAGAGATTCATGCTGACAATCGTTAGCATTGTTGATTTCTAGTAAATCTGTTGGATGCGCCATTAGTTTTTCTGATGAAATAATTACAAATTGTAATAATCCATCATATGAAATCGCTGTTGTTAGCTTTTTTTTGTTATAGAAACGTTTCAATGGTGAGATATTTGTTTTCAGAGTGAATAATGTTTTCCTGATTTTTTTTAATGAACGTATCAGAGCCGACGTTTTTTTTAATACGGAAAAATAAGTGACACAGAAAAAGTACATTTCTCTTTTTTAAGGTCAATTTTGTCTCAATTAGTAAGAATGATAACATGTAAAAAGAAACATGACATTCGTTTCCTTGCCTTGAGTATCCAAGTATGGGTATCTTAATTTTTCTTTTCAGTCAATTGTCAGCTGTGTAATGTATCGGACTTTATTTAGCTGCCTTACAATAATAGATATATCACTAAAGCAAACCTATATAATCTATTAGATGAAAGATACGAATCAAAAAGAATAACACAACATATATGTATGTGTATATAGATACGATTTCCCTATCGGATACACACAGACACAATGAGGCCAAAAAATAACATACAGATAAATAATTATGTACGCGCAATCTTAAATATTGAATCAATACAACAGCAGATTAATTATGCAACGAACGACTGAACGAATAGTCATTCCGATAATGTTCCATTGAAAATATGAACTTATTCAGATACGCATAAGTTTTAAAAAAGCTATCTCCATCGTTACATGTTTATTACAATCTTTTTCTTCCGGCTGAATTTGAACGTAGCTGTAAAGCAATGATAGATGTCATACCTGATTTAGAATCATCGGTATCGTTTGTAGCCATACTACATAGGTGTTGATTGGATTTACTTTTAAAAAATCGAAGTAATCCCATGATTTAATAGCGTTTAAATGAATGAAGATTACGAATTATATAATAAATGCTTGCAGTGTAATTATATATATGCAGATAAATAAAGACGACAAGTAAGAATAGATAAGCTATTTGAATTGCAAATAAATCTAAAAAAAAACATGTATTTATACATCGTATGAAGATTGGTACAAAGTCGAAGTTTTATATTTAAATCTATCTATTTATACGCACCAGAAAACTTGACCTTGTAAATTTATTCGTTGGTTCTATATAATCGGCATGCCTTGGCAAAATTTTTCAAAAGAATGTCAAGAAAAAATGCCGAGATAAGCGAAAACAGATGGAAACAAGATTAGTAAAAGAGGATTGTAGAATTTTTATTCTATCAAATATGGGTTTGCTTTTTACATTCATATGTGATCATCAGCGGAATCTCTGAAAAGATAGCTACGTGATTATTTTATCAATTATCAGCAGCTGACTTTCGATTTTCTTCCTCTTTGTACTTATCAAATATTCTTTTTCTTGTTCACCAAGATATCTAGTGCCTAGAAATCAAACTAAAACAAGGCAAATAGGTAGTAAAATATCTGCGCGACGAAGAAATGTAAAAAGGAACTATGTAACAGGCAAAAATTAACGGCGAAGTTTAGTTCCTTTCGAAAGTATTGATAATACCGATACGAATAGAATATATCTACACTCAAGTGATCGTATGAATTAAATTCAACGCTACATACGTAATTTGAGATTGCTTTTTCTAGTATCGAATATTAAACTGTAGACGTCTGTTGTATAGTACTTTCTTTCATTTATATCATCAATAATTATTGACAATAATTGTTTGAAAATGCCTTGCAAATGTCCCCTTTTTTTTCTTCCTCACGAGTCAATGACTTGTGCCTACACTTCGAGTCATGTCTGACATCAGGATAAAGTAATAACGTCATAAATATTTTTCGTATGTTGTATTTGGCAAGAAAGGCAAAGTCAGAAGGTGTGATAATATTTGTTGACGCTTACTTGAACTGTCGCACTTTTCCCTTCTTAAAATTCTTTTCCCTATCAATTGTAAATTATTGTTCCTTATGTTTAAATGGCATTTAACAAGATCATCAGCGGAGTTTTTTCTTCTTCGTTTAATACTCCTTGTCTAACGCTAGTCTCGAGTTCTATATATCGAGGACGACATCTATAGTCGAGAGACTCAGGTATTGATTACACGGATTTCCTTCGTTCGTCATTATCAATGTAGAAAAAACGCCAGCCTTGTTGCTATTATAATAGCTCATGTGTATAGAATGACACATGATTGTCTATAGTCCTTCGATAGGAAATACTACTTACAGTCGATTACTTATCTGATTTCTGCTGTTCATTCCAATTTTATGAAGTAAAAGAAAAGTAGGAAATTTGTTTGATTTTTTTACCAGTTAATTCAGTAATTAAAACAAATCTCTTTTAGTTAAATCAGTGTAACTGTTTGCTTTTTGTCTAGAAGTTTTGTATCTTATATGCTGTTCTTCTTACACTATATCTGATAATTTGCGAGGAAGTAGCGCATGATATATATATATACGGATATATAATCTAGTCATACACGTCAGATGTACATGACGTTATTGTGGAGCATGGTTTTTACGTAGAAAAGAAACAGCAAACACAAAAAGAAAAAACGGATGTACTTCGAGAGCGTCATTTGAGTGTCATATGAAATTCGTTGATTCTTTCGATTAAACGAACGTAGAATATTATTGTTTTCTTCTCTAGCACTTTATAACCTTTTTCTTTTGTCTTGCCCGACTCTTTCCTAGTGAGAGTGCATTTTATACGAACAAAACGTCGTTCGAAATGTGTCATAAGTCGACGGAAGAGTGCATACTCCTTCCAGCGAGTAATAATGCTTATAAACCTAGCCACGGAAAAAAGATTAGAAGATAAATAAAACCACATAATTTCATAAAATTTTTTCCTCTGTATTATTAAATGCGCAAATACGAGCTGTATTATTTTATGTCTTTAAATGTAAATGAGTTGAAGCTATATTATATATATATATATATATATATATATCAGCGTGCTTGAGTGAAACCTATGTTCGATGAAATTATGAAGGATAGTGTAAATTAAAAACATATCGACCTACTTATCTGTACATTTAAATAGAACAGAAAGTATTTTAAAGTGAAATTAGTATTCTGAGCATTCTCTATTATATGAAAGAAGACGTTCATCTATGAAAACAATTCGATGATTGTATCAAAAACATACCTTAATCGCTGGTAAATGCTAAGGAATTCTCATAGATCAGTCTATTCGAATGATGTATATCTATCTATTTATTTGAACAGATTCCTGTCTAATTAAATAAGTCCTATTAAGACTAGACAACGCTTAGAAGAGATGTACATTCATAATCCTGTCTTCTATGTTCATGACTATTCAGTAAGATATATTAAAGAAAATGTCATAATTTCTATCGTAGCACTGGGAAATTCGATTTTTCAGTTTCTAAATCGTACACTCATTTTTTCTGAAAATCAATATCAAAAATTTTCTTTCACTCGAAAAGTCTATTCTCCTGTACTCTTATGAAATTCATGCTAAACTCATCACTAATTATCTAGATCATAGAAAAAGATTCTCTAATAGAAATTTATAGTGTATATGTACGAGACTGGACACTGTGAATATCATTTGTACCAAGTAATTTTGAGACCCGTGAAAATTTTTGTTGCGACAAACAGTTAAATTCGTTTTTGACCTGTTGAAGTACCAAACATTCAAGGTCATCTCTATTTGATATTCATCACGTTCGCGGAAAATAGTGATGTCGACATAATTGATCATTGACATTAATTAATAATAATTGTTTTTTTCTCTATTGTTAACCATTCTTTAAATAGCCCACGAAGTGCAAACTACGTAAAAGAAAATACACTAGACTTTGACTGACAATAATTATGTCTAAATGAACAAAAGAAAAAAAACAGACTGTCATAATAAAACTAATGAATAGAGCTACGAGTTGGATGAGATAATCCAAATCTCATTTCATTCGTCGTTCTGCTACTAATGAACATTTGATGAACTTTTTTACGAATATAGACATTGAAAATCATAATGGAGATGGCTTCATAGGATCTCTATTTATATGATAGAAAAAAATCGGAATCATTCAAGCTTTAAAAAATGCATTAAATAATCATTTTTGTTTTCATTGAGTAGGATCAGCTAGATCTTGAATAAGACGGCAACAAAAAAGTCATATTGCAGAAAGAAATAACGGAAAATATGTAGAGGAAAGAGTTCATTTGAAGATATAATCAATAGTGCAGTTAAGAAAGGGCACCGAAGGCATTTATTTCTTCCTTCCGAAAGTTTTTCAGTGTTTTCTTCTGAAAAAGAATAAACTAGAATAGTCTCAATTAGCCTTGAAAAGATGTTCGCTATTTTGCGCTATCTTACATTACAAAAAAAAAACACAGATATGAATCATCATGGAATTTGGCATTCAAAGACACACGAACGATACGATATCTCTGTCATAAGCACGTAGATACAATTGTGAAAGCTGAGTCTAGTGAGCTTGATTACTAAACAAAAATCTTACTTAATTGCGTACATCGATGCATCATATCAAGAAAAGAATGTATTAAAAAAACGGCAACTAATTATTTGTCTTTCTCTATTATGCGGAAACGGAAATAGTTTCTCAAGAGTGTGTCACATCCTTACTGTTACTACCATCTAAAAATACAACTAAGGTAAACAAAATTGTATCGCTTACATTTGAAATTTTAAGCAAAAATTAAAAAAACCAAGTGTTCAGAGCAGAATAACCTAATCCGTTTTAAAACTGTTCTCGATTCTTTGTGCAGCAATAATCTAAAGGTTAACACTCATTTCATGATAGTCAATACTCCGCTGGATTTAAGCAATGCTCAAACTTCTCGCGGAAAGTTGATTAACTAGTAAGCGGATTTTCTTCGTTTGTAAATGGGTAATTTATGTTAAAACTGATTTATTCAGTAAATATTTTTTATTACTTTAGATATAATTATGAAAAACGAATATTTATTTTACACGTCATCTCGAACTGGTAAATCAAGCTCAATTAGAAGAAATTGCATTTATTTTTAATCGAGTTGTGAGGGCAACACCCACAATATTGACAACTGCATGATTCATGACATGCCAAACTAAATTATGAATATCTTGATAATCTGATTTCGATTAGAGTTGAAGAATTTGGTTGATTTTTTCTTAGACCATTCTTACGTGATGCAAACTAAATAATTAAAGATTATTTTTAAAAAAATCGTTGATGTTAGACGACATGTTTCGTCGGTGGCCGAGCACATATGGAGAAATGGCAATTAATTCATCTATTCGACGAAGATATGCATTTAGATTCAACGACTGGCTAGAGACTATGGAAATAAAACTAATAGATGACTGTTGTAAGAAAAAGAGCACTATGTGTAATTGAATTCCTCCAATCTGACACTTCTCTACTACCATTGGAATTATATAGTAATAAATATAACAGCTGTTACTATCATTAACCATGAAAATGAAATCTAAATATATGTAATAGAGAAAACGAAATAAATGGATGTTTGAGCTTGGTGATAAAAAAAATTGCATGATTAATCGAATCATCTGGTGTTGCATTAGAGTGTCTCGAATTAGCAACATAACTACCAGTGAAAGAGTTCGGGGCCACTAGTTGTTAGAAGCAGTCCTCACTTCATTCCGAAAGAGTTTTTATTATCAGAAAAACCATAGAGATGGGCTTTCCAAAGCAAAATCAGTAAGTATACGATTGCAAAACAATCATTAGTGATTATTTGCATCAAAATAAAGATTCGAGAGGAAACATATATTTGATAAAAAGAAAAAAATTCTGGTTGTTTTGCCTTTCCATTTTTATCATTTCGCGTAGCTGATAAACCCTACATATATTGAGATTGAATTTGGCAAGATTTGCAGTGCGTCTAAAATTGTCTCACTTCAAAATTTTGGATCCATGATTCACCAATTACAGAACTCAGTGGTTCAAGAGATTACATGCACTTTAATGATCAAATGTTTCGTCACCGGTATAAATTTTCACTGAAAAAAATAGAAAATATGGCATCCAGAACTAAAGTCTACATCTTATACAATACAAATATGAATATTTGAGTGTTGTTGTATGAGTGGATGTTCTAATTTAGATGCATGATTTACTGTTTTAGTGATGGCATACCCTTTCTCTCATACACTGACACCAACGAGGCGGAACACATTGTTCTAGTATGCCAAGCAGTTTTCATATGATATGAATTCGAGTGTGTCGGCACAACATATGTGCTCACAGCAGTCAATATTTCAAAGGACCCCGCCGGGTAAAAACATTTTCTTGAATCGATTTCATTTTTATACAGTATTGTAGAGCTCGTTGAGATACATCAAATGGTATATAGGAAGTCAAGTTTTCATAACGGTTTTGTGTAGTTACAGTCGATATACTATCTATACTGGCA